AAATCCATTATGCCCAAATCATGTCTTTAAAGGGCAATACATCCCAGGGGCCATAGTCACATGGCAGGAGGCTGGCAATCAGTCTTCTCCAATGCCCAGTGGCGAGGTCGGTTTCGCCACAATGACATAGGGGGCGGGCCGATCAGCGCATATGTTCGCCGTCCGCTGCAAACCGTTCGGCGAACCGTTCGGGACATCACTATTAGTTAGGGTACACATATCGTGCGTATATCAACAATAGCTAAATTGCCACATTGCAGCGAGTAAGCATATATGTCAACATTCACCTCGGTATAGCAAATTTCAGTATAATCTTGATTTATTTTTACATTCACCTCTGTTATGGTACTTTTGGGGATATTGTGACAATGCTGGTGACAGGTCTCCACCTGTTCAGGGTGTTCTTTCTATAAATACGGTGGTTTGCTATTAGCTGTATTTGTTAGCATTCCAATATACCACTACTATTAGATGGTATACACCAGTCGAGTACCCGTAGAGTATGCAGAGTTATGGTGTAGCTTGTGCTACGCTAACTAGTGGGTAACCTGAGTGTACCTTACTTTGGGGTTTAAGAAACATAGAAACATAGAATGTGACGGCAGATAAGAACCATTCGGCCCATCTAGTCTGCCCAATTTTCTAAATACTTTCATTAGTCCCTAGTCTTATCTTATAGTTAGGATAGCCTCATGCCTATCCCACGCATGCTTAAACTCCTTCACTGTGTTAACCTCTACCACTTCAGCCGGAAGGCTATTCCATGCATCCACTACCCTCTCAGTAAAGTAATACTTCCTGATATTATTTTTAAACCTTTAAACCTTTGGAAGAACTTGGTGTAAGAGGGGGGGCATGGGATTCACAAATGGGATTAGGAGAGGTGGAGCGGGGTTTGAGTATGTCAGTAGTTTGCCTTGGCCTTACATATATAAATGTTCACGTGTATGGTCGGGCAGTTGAGGAGACATCCCGTTGGTTACGTTGGGTTGATATGTTGGGTCGGTGGTGGACTTCCACTTGGTCCCTGTCTGCCTCGCCCAAACTCCCTCTCCCATTCCTCCCAGTTACCTATGAACTCCTGCATATTCTGCGAAGTCAGTACTGCCATTTTTTCGTACCCCTAGAACTGTTCTAGTTTAGCCAATAATTGGGCCTGAGAGGGGCTATCTTGTGATTTCTAATGTAATGCTATGAGATTTCTCGTAGCCAAGTTTTTAATATTTTAATATATTACTGTAATGAATTGCTATTTTAAGATCTTGGGTTATGTGTATAGGCAAGATGAAGAACTGTGTTTAATTGTATCAAATCTTCTTAATCAGAAGACTTATATAGTCTTATTCTTAAAATAAATATCGATATAATGTACATAGGTTTAAAGCCATTATACAGGGAATGCAGAATTATTAGGCAAATGAGTATTTTGACCACATCATCCTCTTTATGCATGTTGTCTTACTCCAAGCTGTATAGGCTCTAAAGCCTACTACCAATTAAGCATATTAGGTGATGTGCATCTCTGTAATGAGAAGGGATGTGGTCTAATGACATCAACACCCTATATCAGGTGTGCATAATTATTAGGCAACTTCCTTTCCTTTGGCAAAATGGGTCAAAGAAGGACTTGACAGGCTCAGAAAAGTCAAAAATAGTGAGATATCTTGCAGAGGGATGCAGCACTCTTAAAATTGCAAAGCTTCTGAAGCGTGATCATCGAACAATCAAGTGTTTCATTCAAAATAGTCAACAGGGTCGCAAGAAGCGTGTGGAAAAACCAAGGCGCAAAATAACTGCCCATGAACTGAGAAAAGTCAAGCGTGCAGCTGCCACGATGCCACTTGCCACCAGTTTGGCCATATTTCAGAGCTGCAACATCACTGGAGTGCCCAAAAGCACAAGGTGTGCAATACTCAGAGACATGGCCAAGGTAAGAAAGGCTGAAAGACGACCACCACTGAACAAGACACACAAGCTGAAACGTCAAGACTGGGCCAAGAAATATCTCAAGACTGATTTTTCTAAGGTTTTATGGACTGATGAAATGAGAGTGAGTCTTGATGGGCCAGATGGATTGGCCCGTGGCTGGATTGGTAAAGGGCAGAGAGCTCCAGTCCGACTCAGACGCCAGCAAGGTGGAGGTGGAGTACTGGTTTGGGCTGGTATCATCAAAGATGAGCTTGTGGGGCCTTTTCGGGTTGAGGATGGAGTCAAGCTCAACTCCCAGTCCTACTGCCAGTTCCTGGAAGACACCTTCTTCAAGCAGTGGTACAGGAAGAAGTCTGCATCCTTCAAGAAAAACATGATTTTCATGCAGGACAATGCTCCATCACACGCGTCCAAGTACTCCACAGCGTGGCTGGCAAGAAAGGGTATAAAAGAAGAAAATCTAATGACATGGCCTCCTTGTTCACCTGATCTGAACCCCATTGAGAACCTGTGGTCCATCATCAAATGTGAGATTTACAAGGAGGGAAAACAGTACACCTCTCTGAACAGTGTCTGGGAGGCTGTGGTTGCTGCTGCACGCAATGTTGATGGTGAACAGATCAAAACACTGACAGAATCCATGGATGGCAGGCTTTTGAGTGTCCTTGCAAAGAAAGGTGGCTATATTGGTCACTGATTTGTTTTTGTTTTGTTTTTGAATGTCAGAAATGTATATTTGTGAATGTTGAGATGTTATATTGGTTTCACTGGTAATAATAAATAATTGAAATGGGTATATATTTGTTTTTTGTTAAGTTGCCTAATAATTATGCACAGTAATAGTCACCTGCACACACAGATATCCCCTAACATAGCTATAACTAAAAACAAACTAAAAACTACTTCCAAAAATATTCAGCTTTGATATTAATGAGTTTTTTGGGTTCATTGAGAACATGGTTGTTGTTCAATAATAAAATTAATCCTCAAAAATACAACTTGCCTAATAATTCTGCACTCCCTGTACTTACCTGTATATTCAGTTCTCCATCTGCTAATGTCTGTTTATTTTTAGTTGTATTTTCTAATTATATTTTAACTGTCTTTAATCTGTTGTTTTTTACCCTGTACACGAGCTATATCCAATATAAGGGTTAATATATTTGTGTTTATTGACATCACATATCCTGACTTTGACACGAGAGAAGACAAGAAGCCAGTAAGAAATATGGCAATATTAACCTATGGACGTGACGTCGCTTCCGGAAATCAGAGTGATGAGCGTAATCAGCTGTAGATGAAACACACACAATACCGACAGACTTGATTGGATAACCAACGAATGGGAAGACCAATCAGAAACCAGAACTGGGATTTAAAAGGAGGGAGGGAATGAGGAGTAGATGAACTTTGATTGAGAAGGCCTGCGGAAAGGGCGAAACGCGTCTCGAGGATATTTTCAGTACAAGGACATTGTTTTATTGTTTTGTGTATTTTGAATACTTTAATCAATCAATCAATTGGATCTTTTTTAGTCCCATTTGCTGTCAACTTCATCTACCTCCAAAGAAGGTGTACACCCCCTTAGTGGGTAACAAGCTGTTCCAACCAGAGCCAGGTATCTTATTTTGGCTCTGGAAAAGGTGAGCAAACTACCATTTGGTATCTGGGTATTATATGGACTGTCTATGGTCAGTCTGGGTATTATATGGACTGTCTGTGCTCAGTCTGGGTATTATATGGACTGTGCTGGGTCTGGGTGTTATATGGACTGTTTGTGCTCAGTCTGGGTATTATATGGACTGTGTGTGCTCAGTCTGGGTGTTATATGGACTGTCTGTGCTCAGTCTGGGTGTTGTGTTATATGGACTGTGGGTGCTCAGTCTGGGTGTTATATGGACTGTCTGTGCTCAGTCTGGGTGTTTATATGGACTGTGTGTGCTCAGTCTGGGTGTTAAATGGACTGTCTGTGCTCAGTCTGGGTGTTATATGGACTGTCTGTGCTCAGTCTGGGCGTTATATGGAGTGTCTGTGCTCAGTCTGGGCGTTATATGGACTGTCTGTGCTCAGTCTGGGCGTTATATGGACTGTCTGTGCTCAGTCTGGGCGTTATATGGACTGTCTGTGCTCAGTCTGGGCGTTATATGGACTATCTGTGCTCAGTCTGGGCGTTATATGGACTGTCTGTGCTCAGTCTGGGTGTTATATGGACTGTCTGTGGTCGGTCTGGGTGTTATATGGACTGTCTGTGGTCAGTCTGGGTGTTATATGGACTGTGTGTGCTCAGTCTGCGTGTTATATGGACTGTCTGTGCTCAGTCTGGGTGTTATATGGACTGTGTATGCTCAGTCTGGGTGTTATATGGACTGTGTGTGCTCAGTCTGGGTATTATATGGACTGTGTGTGCTCAGTCTGGGTGTTATATGGACTGTCTATACTCAGTCTGGGTGTTATATGGACTGTGCTGGGTCTGGGTGTTATATGGACTGTGTGTGCTCAGTCTGGGTGTTATATGGACTGTGTGTGCTCAGTCTGGGTGTTATATGGACTGTCTGTGCTCAGTCTGGGTGTTATATGGACTGTGTGTGCTCAGTCTGGGTGTTATATGGACTGTGTGTGCTCAGTCTGGGTGTTATATGGACTGTCTGTGCTCAGTCTGGGTGTTATATGGACTGTCTGCGCTCAGTCTGGGTGTTATATGGACTGTGTGCGCTCAGTCTGGGTGTTATATGGACTGTCTGCGCTCAGTCTGGGTGTTATATGGACTGTCTGCGCTCAGTCTGGGTGCTATATGGACTGTGTGCGCTCAGTCTGGGTGCTATATGGACTGTGTGCGCTCAGTCTGGGTGTTATATGGACTGTGTGCGCTCAGTCTGGGTGTTATATGGACTGTGTGCGCTCAGTCTGGGTGTTATATGGACTGTGTGTGCTCAGTCTGGGTGCTATATGGACTGTCTGTGCTCAGTCTGGGTGTTATATGGACTGTCTATACTCAGTCTGGGTATTATATGGACTAAATAATTCTAGAACATTCTCACTGCGTTACCGTGGTAACTAGGTAGGATCCGGAAGTGACGTCACACCAGGCAGCGCGTTGGTAACCTTGATTTCCGGTTATTAGCAGCCGCTGCGATCTGAGGGGAGACAGACAGAGACCGGAGCTCGCAGCGCTCACACCGGGGAACCGCGGCCGCAGCAGGAGAACGAGGTGAGCGAGCGGACCGTGTGTGACCATTACCGGCCGGACCCCCTCCCCCTCCTCCCACCACCCCTCCCCCAACCCCGGGACACCGAGCGGCAGCCTGGGCCTCACTGCGGCATTGTCTGTCCGGGGGGGCCGCACCGGGGGCCGCACTGCCGCCCCTCCCCCCCCTCCATTATACACACTGTATACATATTATATATAGTCACTAACCCCCTCGTTATACACACTGTATACATATTATATTATATATAGTCACTGACCCCCTCGTTATACACACTGTATACATATTATATATAGTCACTGACCCCCTCGTTATACACACTGTATACATATTATATATAGTCACTGACCCCCTCGTTATACACACTGTATACATATTATATTATATATAGTCACTGACCCCCTCGTTATACACACTGTGTACATATTATATATAGTCACTGACCCCCTCGTTATACACACTGTATACATATATTATATATTGTCACTGACCTCCTCATTATACAGACTGTATACATATTATATTTAGAGATGTCGCGAACTGTCCGCCGGCGACCAATAGCGTGTTCGCGTTTTGCGAACATATGCGATTTCCGGTCCGCCCCCTATTTGTCATCATTGAGTACACTTTGACCTGTACCTCACAGTCAACAGACACTTCCTGGGAGGGAGGGTCTGCTGCTGATTGGCTGGAATGTCTGCTGACTGTGAGGTTCCGGGTCAAAGTGTAATCAATGATGACGAATAGGGGGCAGACCGGAAATCGCATATGTTCGCCCAACGCGAACACGCTATTGTTCGCCGGCGAGCAGTTCGCGACATCTCTAATTATATATAGTCACTGACCCCCTCGTTATACACACTGTGTACATATTATATTTATATATAGTCACTGACCCCTCGTTATACACACTGTATACATATTATATTATATATAGTCACTGACCCCCTCGTTATATAGACTGTATACATATTATATATAGTCACTCACCCCCTCGTTATACACACTGTATACATATTCTATTATATATAGTCACTCACCCCCTCGTTATACACACTGTATACATATTCTATTATATATATAGTCACTCACCCCCTCGTTATACACACTGTATACATATTCTATTATATATAGTCACTCACCCCCTCGTTATACACACTGTATACATATTATATTATATATAGTCACTGACCCCCTCGTTATACACACTGTATACATATTATATTATATATAGTCACTGATCCCTTCGTTATACACACTGTATACATATTATATATAGTCACTGACCCCCTCGTTATACACACTGTATACATATTATATATAGTCACTGACCCCCTCGTTATACACACTGTATACATATTATATTATATATAGTCACTGACCCCCTCGTTATACACACTGTATACATATTATGTTATATGTAGTCACTGACCCCCTCCATTATACACACTGTATACATATTATATATAGTCACTAACCCCCTCGTTATACACACTGTATACATATTATATTTATATATAGTCACTGACCCCTCGTTATACACACTGTATACATATTATATTTATATATAGTCACTGACCCCCTCATTATTCAGACTGTATACATATTATATTATATATTGTCACTGACCTCCTCATTATACAGACTGTATACATATTATATTTAGAGATGTCGCGAACTGTCCGCCGGCGACCAATAGCGTGTTCGCTTTTTGCGAACATATGCGATTTCCGGTCCGCCCCCTATTTGTCATCATTGAGTACACTTTGACCTGTACCTCACAGTCAACAGACACTTCCTGGGAGGGAGGGTCTGCTGCTGATTGGCTGGAATGTGTCTGCTGACTGTGAGGTTCCGGGTCAAAGTGTACTCAATGATGACGAATAGGGGGCAGACCGGAAATCGCATATGTTCGCCCAACGCGAACACGCTATTGTTCGCCGGCGAGCAGTTCGCGACATCTCTAATTATATTATATATAGTCACTGACCCCCTCGTTATACACACTATATACATATTATATTTATATATAGTCACTGACCCCTCGTTATACACACTGTATACATATATTATATATAGTCACTGACCCCCTCGTTATACACACTGTATACATATATTTATATATAGTCACTGACCCACTCGTTATACGTATTATATTTATATATAGTCCCTGACCCCCTCGTTATACACACTGTATACATATTATATTTAGTCACTGACCCCCTCGTTATATACACTGTATACATATTATATTTATATATAGTCACTGACCCCCTCGTTATATACACTGTATACATATTATATTTATATATAGTCACTGACCCCCTCGTTATATACACTGTATACATATTATATTTATATATAGTCACTGACCCCCTCGTTATACAAACTGTATACATATTATATTTATATATAGTCACTGACCCCCTCGTTATACAAACTGTATATATATTATATTTATAGTCACTGACCCCCTCGTTATACACACTGTATACATATTATATTTATATATAGTCACTGACCCCCTCATTATATAGCCTGTATACATATTATATAATCAGTGGCCTCCTTAGTGTATATCCTGTATGTATCCTATAGTCAGTGACCACCTCATGGTATAGCCTTCATACATGCTATATATAGACAGAAACCCACGCACAATATACTGCTGAATATACATGTTTATATGTGTGTTTAAACTTGTACATGTGTAATAAAACATTTTATGTAAGAGCTAAAATTGCACATACATATTTAATAGTAATCATGCTTGATGGATATCTAGATCTTAAAAACATTAAACAGAGAGGCATGATGGTTGCTCTTCATCTTTTAAATGGTAGTTTGGGCTAGAAAGTACTGTAAATTGAGCAGGACATGCAGGATAGCTTGTGACCATGAAGGCTGTTTTATCTATCTTTTGTCCCAGCTTTTGACGGTTACACTTATTGCTCCACCTGCTACTCATATCTGACTTGGCATCATGGGAAATATTGTCAACAACAAACCGCTTTAGTGGTTTAACAGTCACTGAATTTATAGGAACTCTGTTGTAAGTTATGGGTTTTACTAGACTGACCTATATATGAAATTAAGAGACTGAAAGACCAGTGTGAATAGATGTATTTACATACAGAGAATAAAAAAAATCTGTTACACCACCACCTGATGGGAGTTTCTTGCTTTTGTGAATTGTGTTTACATGTAGATAATTCTAGAGTGTTGAGATACAAATAGATTTTAGTTGCATAGCAGCTATTTGTTACTGACTGATTGGTAAAGTTGATAGTTGTGGATGCAGTCCGTTGCCTGTAAACAATTTGGTGAGCAGGTAGATTAGGTTTCATTTTATGATTAATGTTGCATTTTGTAAACTTAAAATTTTCTCTTTATTTACATTAATTCTTATGTTAGACGTTTAGTAAAGTGTTGAGCCATGACTTTAATATATATTAATCTGCTGTTTAGATATGTCTTATTGTCCTTGGAATTTATAGTTTTATGTTCATTGGACTTGGAAGATTTGTGCTTTGTCCGTCCTTTATTTAAAAGTGTGTGATTTGTATGCATGACTTGTAATGCGAAGGTTAAGGCATTTGAATGCTGTACTTTGTAAAGGAACAACTTAATGAAGCAGTTTTGGTGTATAGAGAATGCCACACTCTCAATAGACAATTGATCAGTTTGACTGCAGGGGCATGGTCTATACACTAAAATGTTTTCATTAAAGGAATGCTGTAGTGTTCTTCGGCACTTGTGTAGTGCTGAAGTAAATATTTAGGTGATGCTGGCCCCCACTCTGAGTAAAGAGTGTGTAAATAAAATAAACAACCAAAAACATGCATGCAAAACATCACACTGCGCCAATCAGGACCTTCTCAGAGATGCATTCTATTAATGCATCTCTATGGGGGTGTTCAGTGTTTCAATGCAGGTAGGTGCTGCACTGTGATAGTAAGCACCTCTAGTGGCTTTGTGTGATTACCACTAGAGATGTTAATAGGCAGCAATGTTAACACTGCCTTTTAATAGAAAAGGCAGTGTTTACATTTAAAAAACCTGAAGAGACAGGCTAGACACCAGAACCACTACATTAGACTGTAGTTATTCTACTGACTATAGTGTCCTTTAATGCTGAATGTTTTGATACTATAGTATCCCATTAAGTTCCATCAAATAAAACGTGTAAATATGATACAATAAATGTATTCATGCTGTATTGAGCATGTGTTGCCTTTCATCTTGTTTTATGTTGCTGCTATCATATCAGAGAGCTTTAAAATTCCAGCTTTCCCTCCAGCCCCTGGGCTGTTCTGTATTTGTCTGGATTGCATGACAGGATCTGTTATTTCCTTACACAGGACAGGACTCATTCAGCTGTCTCGCACAGAAGGCTGCATGCAACTTGGTGTCAAGTCATTTGCTTGTTTGTTTGGTATAGTGTGCATTTTACTCTGATGGCATTTCATTTTTGTTTTAATTTTCATTAATACTACTTTGTTTTGGAGAGACAGTGTTGACTATATACTCTTCTGTTTGCAGCTGTGTGGTGGTTTTAATATTTATAATGGTTCTTGTGAACTCGCAAAGTCCCCTTACAGTGACATTGCTGCTTGGGGTCTAGTGGCCGAGAGGGGGGTGGTAAAGGTGAGTTTACTTGCCTGAACCTGACCCTCCTGGATGCCAACATCTTAGTCCAGCGTGGTCCTCATTGGTGCTGACGAGCATGCACAAGACTACAACATTGAAGTCTATGGGGGATCCTGGAAGATCCTCAATAGGTACCGCCAGTTCCCTGCATCCTATTGATACCGGCTGCATGGATTGACACTTGGGCTCGGCCTTGTGTCATGGAAAGTCAGACGTAGAAGAAATACAGGGACAAAGTAGTCCCTATCATGTCTCTGTAAATCTCTTGACTGGGTTGCAATTTCAGTGAAATTCAAACAGTCATAATGAGGCTTTATACTCCTTTTTTAGGGGAGGAAAGGGTTACTGTCGCAAAAAAACCACAAAAAAAAAAACCCCTGCAATAGATTTCAACACCGGAGTATGATACAGTTTGCTGAACACCTGACCATTATACCAACAGGGACTTTTATGACATTACATTCTAAATACATAGACATTAATATATACTAGGCCCCCCTTTGCAGCTAAATAAGCCTCCATTCTTCTGGGAAGACATTCACACACCGTTCCCACAACTAATATTGGCACCCTTTAGTAAATGTGAGCAAGAAAACCTGTGAAAAAATTGCCTTTACTATTTAACATTTTGTTTAATACACACACATACTCTGCTGTCATGGCTATCAAACCATTGCAAACGCAACACAGGTTTATTAGAAAAATAAATAAATCTTTGAATATGTGTAGCATAATTATTGGCACCCCTACAACTCTTATGAGAGGGAGGGGTGTGTGTGTATGTGTATATATGTATATGTATATGTATATGTATGTGTATATATGTGTGTGTATATATATATAATCTACACAAGATCCAGCGCACTCACCTATCCACTAAACAGCAACTTCAATGTTGAAAGATTTTATTTGTTTTTTTTAAAACACCTAATCTAGGCAAAAATAATGGGGGTTTAGTTACATTATATGATCATACATTGCATAAGCCTGCCACAACGTCAATGTACCCCATCTTTGGCAGGTCCTACACTAACAGCCTAATGTCTGCTCTTATGAGATTAACCTACTTGGGGAAAGAAATTCCATCTGGGGCTCTCTGCAGTACAAGGCTAAATAGGGCCCTGGGATGAGGCACCTGTGACAGGGAGGGGTGCAAAACCAAGGAGTTGGCTAGACTCCCAAATATATATAAAACAAGAGGGGGTTGGCTGCACTCACCTTAACATGCATAAATGGGGGTGCTGCTGGGGGCCAAATAATACAATACACAAGATCCAGCGCACTCACCTATCCACTAAACAGCAACTTCAATGTTGAAAGATTTTTTTTTTTTTTTTAAAACACCTAATCTAGGCAAAAATAATGGGGGTTTAGTTACATTATATGATCATACATTGCATAAGCCTGCCACAACGTCAATGTACCCCATCTTTGGCAGGAGCAGCACCCCCGTTTATGCATGTTAAGGTGAGTGCAGCCAACCCCCTCTTGTTTTTATATATATATATATATATATATATATATATATATAATGTGTGTGTGTGTGTGTACATACCCATTAATATTTTTGTTCAACCATTACTTTCTAATTTTACAGGGGTATAAATATGAGGTAACAAATAGGCAACATTCCTTTTAGTAATTCATCACAATGGGTAAGACCAAAGGATAAAGCTGTGGATTGCGGCAATAGGTTGTTGAGCGTCACAAAATGGCAAGTGGCTGTAAGAAAATAGCAAAAGCATTGAAAATAACCAATTTCCACAATAAGGGCAATAATGAAGCCGTTTCATTAAAATGTAATGTTCTGAATCAACCTGGAAGAGAACTGCAGAAGTTAATTGTTTTTTGGGGAACAGAAAGTCTCCAGTTTGACATACACAGAGAGGTAGCCATATGGAAAAGTACTGAAACACAAAGTGTCATGTATTGCTTTAGATTAGAGTACTCAACAGATAGCTGCTGATCACAGGAGGATCATGGGACGTTCGATTCTCGGACTATACTTAAGGACCACAATGTTAATCCTCTTATTGCACTATATAAAAAGAAGGGAGGGATTTATTAAATTGCTAGAATCAATGGAACAAGACTCTCATGTTACCTCCTTCACTAAATGGGAACAAGATATTGGGGAATCCTTTCCACTTCTGGAATGGACTAAAGCTACACTCCTAGTTAAGTGCTGTATCATAGCGTCTCTCTCTATGAAACACATTTAAAGATAATACATAGAGGGTATATGGTACTGGCTAGACTCTATAAAATATCTGTATATTCTAGGAATTGTTGATGCGGAAATGAGTAGGGCACTATTTATCATATATGCTTGGTCTTGTTAATTCTATTTTCAAGGAGATAAAAGAAATTAGCCCTCAACTTTTCCTCTTTAACATTTGGTTTTCCTTCGCAAGATAAATATCAAAAATATCTTTTGACCCATATATTTTTTTGCCATTAAAATATGTATAGCTAGGGCATGGAATTCTTCTTCTATCCCATTAATATGGCATAATATTATGGAGCAAATAGATTATCAGCACAGGATGGAATCCAACCCCTTCTTTGGCATTAGAGATGTGGCCAAATTATGGTTACCCTGGACAAATAGACAGTATATAAGACAACAAACTGATCCCTTTTGAAGCCCCATGTCGAGTCTCAGAAATTTAATTTATTTCCATTATAATTCCTTTTTTTTTTTAATTTTTTTTTTTGAGTATGTCTATCAATGTAACAGCTATACCATGGAAATCTTTGGTGTGAATTCTTTTTGATAGCGGTTGGCATTGGACAAATGTAGCGTGATTTGAAGGATACACGGTGCGTACAATGGTTTTCACTGAAACGTTGTATTCTATGTGGAAATTTTCGGTGTTTAATGCTACACAGTGCTTATATTATAATATACTGCCAGTATGTCCTTGCTTAAAGCAAGTTATATTGATGGATTTTTTTTTTCTTTCTTTCTTTTGGTTTATTTTGTCTTTTCTTTCCTTTTTTGTTCTTTTTAAGTTAATGCTATAAATTGAATAAATTTAAAAGCTGATGCTCTAATATTTAAAAAAAAACAAAAACAAAACAGGGCCATGGTTGGGTCTTTCAGCAGGGCGATCCAAAACACATCAAAATCGGCATGAAAATGGTTTACTGACCACAAAATCCTGCCTTGGCCATCCCAGTAGTCCCCTGATTGGAACCACATAGACTACCTCTGGAGTGAACTGAAGAGGAGAGTGTTGACCTCGAAATTTGAAGGATCTGCAGAGATTTTGTATGGAGGAATGGTCTCGGCTGCTTTGCCATATCATCAGGCATTATAGTAGAAGATTGGGGTACAGATTACCGGGAGTCTTACACAAGTGTTAGTAACTACAAATACAGCTGTTAATATTGCTGAACTAAAGTTTTAGGCTCACACGTCCCATCAGTCCTGCGAAAGATGCCACAACAGGACTGGAAAGAGGATACTGGATGCCAGCCATCAGATTTCTAGAATGTCACATGAAACTGATTTATTTTGTAAAATGATTAAAAGCATTTATACAGCGCCAACTTATTCCACAGCGCTTTACTATATAACGTTGGATATTTAACCATAAATGTTACAAGAACAATAGGTTGATGAGGATCCTGCTCCTACAATCTAGAGGTAATACCCCCTTCCTCCTCCACCAGTTTTGTCTTATTACACTCTGACAGTAGAAATGGATTTTCTACTGATCTGGAACTGGACAGGCTTAGACCCAAGAAAGTTTTCAATTTGCGCTGTCAAGATCCTTGTGCAACAAGCTTACTGCTGCTGAAAGCCAGTGGAAACCTAGTGAACTGGGAAGGGGAGGGTGGCATGTAACTGCAGAGGATAGTGATAGAAAGTGTGACAGTGTATAATTTTTTTTCTTGAGAATTTTATGTATGCGTACTTGAGATCATGGCAAAGGGAGGTAGCGCAAATGTATTTTTGAGAAGCTTTGAACTGGACATTTTTCTCTGTGAGGAAAAATTTGATTGAACAATGCCCAGAACGAAGTAATGAGTGGGGTAAAAGAGGCCCCGTTCTGCAAGAGCCTTCGTTTTAGAGAATGGAAAGGTAGAGAGGCAGGGTGATTCGGTGCTGGAACACAGTCTTTGGGGTTATACCATCTGAGAACAGTTTCACCCCTTATCATTTTATTTATAAAGAGTCAACAAATTCCCCAGTGCTGTACGACAGGACGACTTAACAGACAAATATTTGTAACTAGACAATTTGGACACACAGGAACAGAGGGGGTTGAGGGCCCTACTCAAATGAGTTTTCTATGCTTAAGGAGTGTATTTAACTAGGAACAGGGACAATACAAGATGGCATTGTGTGGTACTTCTAGTGTCTCCAGACTTTGTTTCACTTGCTGCTTGGACTTTCAATACAAAGCATGAACAATCAATGGGATTTACACAAACTCTGGTCTTGTTCACATGCAACATGCAGCCACATCTATCTGTAAAATCTGCATGGTCCTCTATTGTAGTTCGTTTACTTCAAAAATAGACGTTTTGCAGTTATGTATTTAATTTTTGTTGGCTAATTTTTATTTTTATAGGACTTTTTTTTTTTTTATAAATTATTTTTGTTTTATGCATCTCTCCCTACTTGGCACATGCTTTCATATACTGTATATGATGTTTTCTTCCTTGTGCTGGCTTGTTTCCTAGCTGCCTAAGTATATTGTTCTCCTTTGTCCAAGATGTCTGCAGTTCTGTTTAGGATGTTAGTGTTTGTAGACTTTTCCATAAAAGGCTGAACTCTCTCATTAAAGATAGCTTTATTCAGAGTTACAGTTGCTTGAAAAAATTACACAAAATGATTTGTGAACTTTACTATAGCGTGTTTTTTTTTTTTTGGTGGAGATGCATCAGCTTTCAATTCAGTGGTTAGTGAATAAATTCATAGGTGTGTTTAGATCTCTTGCTAGATGTTCTTGTTTATGGCTCCATTCCTTGCTAAACTCTAGAGACTGTAGTGTACCTATCCCAGGAGGTCAGAAGCTAGATTCATCATGTCTGGAACCAAACATTATACTACTGCCAGTTGCTTAGATCATGTCTACTTCTATTTTCTAGTTTGGTCAAACAAAACCACTTAACCATGTTTGTGGGCTATGGGTATAGCATGTCCAATAAAATGACCATAGCGCCCGTTTATATGCTTTGCTCTTACATAGGCCTTGATTTAAAGGACCACTATAGGCACCCAGACCACTTCAGCTCAATGAAGTGGTCTGGGTGCTAGGTCCATCTAGGATTAACCCTTTCTGCTGTAAACATAGCGGTTTCAGAGAAACTGCTGTTTACCTATGGGTTAATCCAGCCTCTAGTGGCTGTCTCATTGACCGCTGCTAGAGGCGCTTCCACGCTTCTCACTGTGGTTTTCACAGTGAGAAGACGCCAGCGTCCATAGGAAAGCATTGAAGATGTGTGCTGGCTGAATGCGCGCACAGCTAATGCCGCGCATTCAGCTGATGAATGGGGAAAGGAGGAGGAGAGTCCCTGGCGCTGGGAAAAAAGGTAAGGGATTAACCCCTTCCTCACCGTAGAGCCCGGAGTGAGGGGGACCCAAAGACCCTATAGAGCCAGGAAAATGGGTGTTTTCCTGGCACTATAGTGGTCCTTTAATTTAGTTTGAATCAGAATTCAAAATGATTTCACTATGTTAAAAAAACAAAAAAGCAACTTTCTAATGTTTTATCTACAAATAATCCCATGGAGTTTAACTGTAAATTCTATAGCTAAAAAACTAAACGGTCAAATCACCTAGAACTTTTTGTTCATTACTCCAAGAGGTACTTTTTCTTTTAAATTTATAAATTGTTTTAGCTGTAGAATGTGGCTTCACATTCTAGTCTGTTCAACTTCTGCATGACTTCAGACTTTGAAGTTCTATCCTCAGACATCACTGATCTAAAAGGCAATATCATTGGCAGGGAGGTTCAGTGTATGTAGGCCTACACCAGTCATATTCTATTCATGATTAAAATACTACTTATCCTGCAAAAACTGTCTGCGTTCCTGAACAAGCTTTCCTTGTAAAACCATATACCTGTCTAAAATGTTTAGCTTATGCTGGATAGAGGTATAGGACATAGAATGCCTCTGATCAGTGACTTAAAAGAAATCTATAATATTGGGAATACAAAGTTGTATGCCTAGCACTATAGTGCCCTCTGCCCCCCCGCCGCATATAAAGGGTTAAAAACAATTTTATTTACAAACCCGATTCTAGTGCCAATCTCACTCGGCGCTTTGCTACAGTTATTGCCTATAAGGTTTTTACTGACTCTGGATGTCCTCCTTCAGAGTGTGAGGACGCCAGGCGATCTAGAGTCTGCTAAGCTCCCGGAAAAGCCTCTGGTTTTTTACATTGCAGGACTAAGGGGGACAGGGACATTGCACCCAGACCACTTCAATGAGATGAAGTGGTCTGGGTGCCTATAGTGTCCGTTTAACTCTTCAGATGCGTAGAAAGTTAATTTCACATAATGTCCAGCCACCTTTTGATGGCCAAGCAGCATGTAAAATGTATTCTTTTGAATATCCTTCAGTGTTCTGTATATTTCCCTTAACTTTCCTGCTGTCTGGGCAGGGATAAGATTATAAGTGAAGAGGTTGTTACAAAGGGTGTGCAGTTTAACATATACGTGTGTACTAATTTGTATCATTTCAGATATTGCAGCACAATACTTTTTATCCTGACTATTCCAGAGTAAGCCTAGTAATATACTGTCATTGGCTTAAATGGTTGCTTGTTTAAGTGTTTTATGGTGCAAGAATTTCAAGAAAACCATTTTTTTTTTGTTTTTTGTTTTTTTAATTGTAACTTTTTTTTTTATCCAATGCTTATCTAAGAGTAATAGGCTCTCCCTCTGGCCAGAATACTTACCATTTTTGCCCATCATGATCATTGGACGTGCCTGACAACCAAGGCAGTCCCCCTTACAGCCAGTTAAGCTGATCAGAGTAATGTGATCACAACTGCCATCACACGACTTAGATGGGTTGTCAGGCGGATCCCCCAATGCATAATAAAATGTTATATTTATGTACAAATAATGTGTGTGTATATGTACTTGTAAGACATCGCTGAATGCAAATATGAGCGTTTTAGAGCAGTAAACATATGGCAATTGATATCCGTGAAAGTGCGGTTTGTGTGAAAAATGCAAAAACAAAATGTGAACACAAACTTTGGCCAGGGTTTGTGACTAAGTGGCTACTAACAAAGACTGGACAATAACCCATTTTGAATACCCTGCACTGTCTACTTTTGCAAATGGTATGCCATTCCTGGGTTGCCATATGATCTCAAAGGCAACATAGACCCGGCAAACCAATCTGAAATGGGCAAGTTCTTTATTTGACCCTGTAACTTTCCAACCACCATGAAACCTGTACATGAGGGGCATTGTTGTACTTAAGGGACATCAGAGCATACAAATATGTGTGTGTTATTGCAGTAAAAGCTATTATGACATTCACAGTTAAAATGCCATGTAGAACTTGTAAAATAGCAAAATGTTCTTAATTTCTCACTTTATATTTTCTTTTGCCGCAAGCTATTAACAGAGTAGGATATAAGACACACTAAATTAAACAGAACAAGCAATAAAGGAAGTTTAAACATTAAGATCTCTCTTAAAGGGAGTATTTGAGGCATATGCAAGTCACACGCAGGGAGGTATGACTAAGTGATGTAACTCCTAAAATGGTAGGTAATTGAACAGGAAAACTGCAGAGACATGATCTGTACACCAAACCTACTTCATTAGGCTAAAGTTGTTTTGGTGCCTATAATCTCCCTTTTTAAAGAGATTCTATAGTGTTAGGAATTCAAATCTGTATTGGTAAAACTAGTGTCCTCTGGTACCCCCTCCCTACTCCCCAGCACAAAAAGGGTTAAACCCTTTAGTCACATGATTCCAGCGCCGATGTCCTGCTTCCTCTGCTGTCAATTGATGGGGGGACCTAATGCACACACGTGTTGCGAGCGCATTAGACCTTCCCTATAGGAATGCAGTGCCTCAATGTTTTTTTTTTCACAGACGCTGGGTGTCATCATGCCGAGCATGAGGACGTTCAGCATAGTTTAAGGGACTCAGCCACTGGAGGCAGTCTTATTCCTGCAAGGTAATTGCAGTTTCTCAATAACGGCAGTGATTTACATTGCAGGACTTGGTGGGACAAGGACCCTACACCCAAGCTACTTAAATGAGATTAAGTGGTCTGGATGCCTATGGTGTTCCTTTTAAGGCTATGTGCATTCTTAAACCTAAATGTAGAATCCTGTAATGTAATATAAATAGTGACCCTAGTATGTATTTGTAAAATGCAGTGGTAGTGGACCTTTATTGAGCTGGTGTGCCAAGTCTTCTGAGCAGATAAGGTAACTGGTCAAAAAGTGTCAATACGATTTTCCTTTCTTCTACTTGCCTCTTCTCCACTAAAGTGCTCATGCCAGAAAGACCAGTTAGACAGTCACTTTTTTTTTTAATTTTATTTTTTGCTATTCTACTGCAAGGGATACAACAGACCTATACTCCAAGGAATTTATGTATAAAGTGGAATTTATTTTTTGTTGTTCAACTCTTTTTGCATATGCCTATACCTAAAATCCCCTGCAGTAGTATCATTGCAAATGTGAGATTTCTGTGGGAAAATCAGTCTTATGGCTTGTTTGGTGTGTGCAGATCCGTATTTAACAATTGTTTTCTATCCCTCCTTTCCCCGCACACCCTTGTAATTATTACATCTTTTTAACATGTGATGCTGTTTGCTGCCATTTATTCAAACAGGCCTTTAATTTTTCTTCAAATGTTATATATATTTTCTTTATTACTCTTCAGCTGCACCAAATTTGAAGATAAAATGCCAGTAGGATCAGGTGTTATGTTTGGGTAAAACAGGAATGCACATTAACAGTATTATTTGTTTTACTCCAAACAAGTTTAACCCCTTAAGGACTGAACTGTTTTTGTTGTACATTTGCGACCAGGCCTCTTTTTACACTTTTGTGGTGTTTGTGTTTAGCTGTAATTTTCCGCTTTCTCATTTACTGTTCCTATACAAATTATATATTGTTTTTTTCAGACCAAAAAAGGCCTTCTTTACATACCATTATTTATATAATCTCATGTAATTTAATTTAAAAAAAAAATGGTGAAAAATTGGTAAAAATATATATATATTTTTTTTACTTTTACTTGAAAAATCTTTTTTACTCATCTACAAAAGCGAATAAAAAGAACTGCTAAATAGATTCAAAATTTTGTCTTGAGTTTTAAAATACCCAGTGTTTACATGCTTTTTTGATATTTTTTACTGTTTTGAATCACTAATACTTGTGTTCAGCGAAGTCTCCCAAGTAAAACAGTACCCCACATGTACAGGTTTTAGGGTGTCATAGAAAGTTACAGGGTAAAATATAGTGCTAGCAAATTAAATTCTCTGGACTTTCGGCCTGGGTTGGCAGGCAGGTCCCTCAAATTGCAATTAATAAAATTACTTAATTATGTAAAAATATTACATAAATACGCACGTAGAATTTAAATATATATGCATATTTATATATTTGAAGTCTACGTTTATATTTATATAATTATGTGATTTTGTATATGGACATATGTATATTTCGAGATAGATATATATATATATATATATATATATATATATATATATATATATATTCAATTTCATTATGTGTATTTTGATATAAATATATATTTTAATATCAAAATACAGTTAGAATAAAATGTAATCTACTTATTTGTATTTTATTAATATATAGTTATTATATATGTGTAATTTAATTAAGTGTATTTTTATATTATATGTACATATTAATATAAAAATACACTTAGTATGACATTATATATGATATATAGACATATATTATATAGATATAGTGTGTGTGTGTATGTATATATGTATATATATATATATATATATATATATATATATAAAAAATTTTATTATTATTTTACACTTGCAGGGAGACTGCACAGGCAGTCACCCTGCAGGCAGACACATGGACACCTATTGTGACCATGTGATCGCTCTATTGAGCAATCACAGGGGTCCTACTCCACCATGGGCAGACTGTATGGGCTGCAGGCAGTCTCCCCACAACGGGAGCATCGCCGCCGTGGGAACGACGGCGATCAGGTAAGTACATCTTACCGTTAGGACGGTTCAGGACCGTCATCGGTCCTTAAGGGGTTAAACATATTCTGACTTTCATGTCACATCAGAAATTGTGATTTGTGCAGTGACGACTCTGCACTTTAAAATGAATTGATATACAGACTTCATTACCCTTACTTTATGAAATACTCGTATTGACTCACAGGTTTTAGCACTTTTGTTTTCCTAACATTATAGTGTTCCTTTAAATTTAACAAGATGGTGACAAAAAATTGGTTTAAATTACAAGTTTTGCTGCACCCCTATATCTTCATGAAAACAGAAAATACACACCTGCAATATTGCGTAACTTCATACCTCATGTGCTAAATATTTTGATAAAAATCAAAGAATGACATTGAACACAGTAAAGGAGTTTAAGCATGCGTGGGATAGGCATAAGGCTATCCTAACTATAAGATAAGGCTAGGGACTAATGAAAGTATTTAGAAAATTGGGCAGACTAGATGGGCCGAATGGTTATCTGCCGTCATATTCTATGAAGACCATGTTGATTTGACAAGGAAGGGACCAGAAGTCTTCCATTACTATTGTTACATATTTTAATTTTATTATATGGTAAACTCTGACAGTTTCTGAATTGCGATTTTATATGATTGTTCCCATGAAGGATGAGGTGTGAGATGTGTATGTATAAATGCAGGGCTTAAAATTTTAAGCCCTACACCACTAGGAAGACTTTAAAAGTTACATTCCACTACAAGCCTGGAGTGTTAATATCACATTCAGTAAGGGTGAATTTATATTTGCCAGGGCGACATTTGTATTGTTTTTACCCTATCTACCTTTGCCTGCCTCCTCAAAAATGAAATAAAAAACTGAACTATAAACCATAGTTTACTGGTTGCAGTTAACCCAGCCTTCTTGCAACTTGCCACAAATTAAAGGGACACTATAATCACCAAAACAACTGGCTTAATGAAGCAGTTTTGATGTATGCCCCTGCAGCCTCACTCCTAAGTTATCTGCCATTTAGGAGTTAAATCACTTTTATGCAGTCCTAGTCACACCTCCTTGCATGTGACTTGCACAGCATTCCTAAACACTTCCTGTAAAGAGTCATCTAATATTTATACTTCCTTTATTGCAAATTCAGTTTAATTTAGAATTCCTGATCTCCTACTCGGCTATGTAACTATGTAATAGCTTGCTAGAACCTGCAGAAGACGTGTGTGGTTTTTTGAAGTTCAGTATACACAGCAGGAGATCAAAACTAGGGGTGTGGCTAGGGCTGCATAAACAGAAACAAAAGTGACTTTAATTCCTAATGGCAGAGAATTGAGCAGTGAAACTTCAGACATGATCTATACACAAACTGCTTCATTAAGCCAATATTATTTTGGTGACTATAGTGTCCCGTTAACTGCTTGCTGACATTGACTTCATAAACAATCATTCTGCTGTGCAACCATTAGTGTTTCAGGAGATTCCAATAAGGAAGTGTAGTGTATGTTTAAAATCAGCTGGGTGTCCATTATTCACAGTGATTTAAAATCTCTTGTCTAAACATGAGACTAGTATCTTAAACTGTAGTTCCAGGGTCTACAAAAATAGCACACGTGGGTGTGTTGTAACAGACCACACTTCCATTGCTTGACCTTCAGCTTTTGGCAGACCATTTGTAAATGCTCACCACTGCACTGTACTAACAGGAACACTTTTTGTTATCATTTTCTATGCATTAAAACTTAAGCACTGCTACAATAGCCAAATATGTTTGCCTCTCAACCCCTTCACTACCACTATGAGTGTTACAATTGGTATGATTGCAAATAAACATCAGTTATCATATGTGAGAAGTGGAATTTCTCTTGGGAATACTATTTTTTTTTTTATCCTGTTAAAAACTTGCTGGACAGGAGCTTATGGCATAAGAACTGACCCCTCGACCAGAATTGGAGTCGTCTTATTGGTGAGGAAAGGATCTGCTAGTTACTCACCATTGCTACTCAAATGTCAATAGCGTTAGAAACCAAGTTTGTGTGTTTTTATTTGATCTTTGTGTGACATGACATGGGCTCACCATGCAGTAGGAGAAACCTTTTGGTGTGTGTGGTTTTTTTTTTTTTTTCTCCTCCTTTCTCCTGTCTCACCAAGGCATGCCTGGTAAGCTTTTTGAGTGCCACTGGAATCCATCCTACTCTCCCATCTATTCTTTCACTGCTGAGGTCTATATGTCCTTTTTTGTGTATTTTTCCAAGATCTTTTATTTGTCACTATATTTGACTGTGAAAGCAAGTAGAAGAGAAAAGTATGAATTATTTAAAATTTATTTTTGTGCTAAATATACTTTAATGTTTCTTCAGAATAGCAGCTCTTAAGCTGTATGTCCTTTCCTCTTCAGGGCTGTTTGTAGCCAATACAAGTAAAGCAGTGATATATGTGCATGAGAGTCATTACTTCAGCACTCAGAGTACCTATACTACAGATCTGAAGCAATGAAAGAAGCTCTGTGCAAAAAAACATTTCTATAAACTTATTTTTTTGGTAAAGATGAATGCTTCCATTATGCTGCTTCATAACCGGAACCTTTACACCAATATTAAGATACCACATGTTTCATTTCTTGACGGAGTTGTCTCCTTTGATTGTCATAATGGCACGATAAACGCTACAACCTGTTGTTACCCTGGTGCTGTCCCAGTGTAATTTGTCAAATGGTTTTAGCTTGGTAAGACCACTTACCTGGGTACAGCCAGGTGCCCACTGCCGCATTCGATCCTCTGCTGTAGAAACCAGATGTTTTAGTAGACGCAAGTATGGCCAATGCAGGACTCTGCTTGTTGGCTAGGAGTGCTCAGCTGACACTGGCCAGTGTGCATGGTTCTGCTTAGTTTTGTAGATCTAACTTGATTTTCCTTAAGGAAAGGTTTGTAAGCAGGGACCTCAGGTGCCCAGTGGGACCCAGGTAAGTTGTCAATCCATACTAAAATGATATGACAATTTACCCTGGGGTGGTGTCAGGGCACTGCTATTAAATACAAAGATTAACAAGCAAAGCCTTATGTATCAATATGTTTCAGAACTTTCCTCATTCCCTCTTGGTCGTGTTTTTAAATATGTCTTCTCTTTTAACTTTTCACAGGTCTCTAAACGTCACCTTTTTTGACACTACCTTTTAAATCATGGTGGAATACTATTCTATTTTAGGAGTTAATAAGAACTCCTCGGCAGATGACATTAAAAAAGCGTAAGTTTTTTGTTGTACATGTATTTTTAATGCATGTTTAATATTGTGATCCTGCTATCATGTAATAGTGACCGCATATTCATGTCTATTGGTTACTTAACTCTGTGCTTTTTCTGCTGGTATACAAATTGGTTGCCAGGTTTAGCAGACTTAAAATTTTAGATTTAGTACCTTTATTTAGCAGATTAGGTCTTCCATGTGTACTGATGCTCCCTGCCAAACATAGCTGTCCAGTGTTAAAACGTAGCTATCGGGATTACCCATGACCTTCCCCATCTGTCTCTTTTCTAACCAAATCTTTTTCACATGTCATGTGGCCTGGATACAAATCCTCTCCAAGAAAAAAATAAAAATAAATTAGTAATAACAAATTTCATTTGTTTTGAAACTATAATTACTTTTTACTGTTTAGTGCAGCATCACCTCAAATAATTCTATTCAAAGGCACAACGTGGTTCATACACTGATTGCTTTTCAGTGTTCCTCCAAGGCTAGTCCACGAAGTCTGTCCGTTCCCTCTCATAGCTGCAGTTATTTGTCATTCCAAGGACATACTTGAAAACGAGAGAAATCTCCATGTACCCTTCCTGGTAAAATATTTGATAAATAAAATTTCCTATACTTTTTAACTTCCCTCCCATGGTAGTGAGAAGCTCCAACATTGTGTAGGTCCCCCTCATGCTGCCAAAACAGCTCTGATGTGTCGTGGCATGGACTCTAGAAGACCTGAACATGTCATGTGATTTAAAAAAAAAAACAAGACAACAGCGGATCATTTAAGTCCTGCAAGTTGCGAAGTGGGGCTTTCAAGGATCACATTTGTTGTTCCAGCACATCCCACTTATGCTCAATCTGATTATAATCTGGGCTATTTGGATGCCAAGACAACACCTTGATTCTTTGTCATGTTCTTCAAACCATTACTTATAAGTTTTTGCAGTGTGGCAGGGTGTATTATCCTGCTGCAAGAGGCCACTACCTTCAGGGAACACCATTGCTATGAAGGCTTGTACGTTGTCTACAAAAACTTCTAGGTAGGTGGTATGTGTCAAAGACCCAAGGAATCCCAGCAGAACATTGCCCAGAGCATAAGACTTCCTCCGCCGGTTTGCCTTCTTCCCATAGTGAATCCTGCTGCCATCTCTTCTCCAGGTAAATGTTGCACACACTCTAGCCATCAACCTGATCTTAAAGAAAATGTGAGAATGTCATCAGACCAGGCAACCTTCTTCCATTGTTCCATGGTCCTGTTCTGGCACTCACATCTGCGGTCATGGGCACTCTGACTGGTCTGCAGCTACGTAGCCATGTATGAAGCAAACTGAGATGCACTGTGTGTTCTGACACCTCTCTATCATGGTCAGCATTAACTTTTTTTTCCAGCAATTTGAGCTACAGTAGCTCCTCTGTGTGAATGGACTAGATGGGTTAACCTTGGCTCTCATGACCATGGCACCAGTTCACCAGTCTTTCCTTGAAACATTTTTCCTGTAACCCCTTACAAGATTTGCCTTTTTGGAGTTGTTCTAACCCCGTCGTCTAGCCATCACTATTTGACTCTTGCCAAAGTTGCTCAGATCTTTTCACATGACCATTTTGTTCCTGTTTATACATGAAATTCAAGAACTGACTGTTCATTCGCTACCTAAGATACCCATTGACAGGTGCCATTGTAATGATATAATCAATATTTTTCCCTTCACTTGCTAGTGGTTTTAATGCGGCTGTCCTTGTAAGTTTATACTGCCATTTCATGATTGCCTATAGAGAACCCAGAAGGTATTCTCCATACTTTGTAGCCTAATATGAGATTGCTTCAGTTTTACAATGTTGTTAAAGACGTGATGCTCCTACAGATGCAGTGCCATTTATTTCTCTTTACCTATCCCAACTCATCACATGTTATTTGCATTCATCACACTTACCCCTAAGGGTTAACCCAGCAATATTAAGCTGTAAAGATTGATAAAACATATATAGTGTAATATGGTATGGAGTATATAAAAGGTGCAGAATCACAATGGGCACACTCACCTGGAAAAGAGCCACTTGGGACAGGCTCAGATCACAACAGCTTGTGTGTACTCAGGTGACAGTAGACCACTAGATCTCCACAATCACAACTAGTGGTGGAATATATATTTTATCACAAAGTTTGTAACAATTTTATATTACAAATAGTATTGATTTTCTGTTCCCCATGCAGTCATATATTAAGGGTTGGCTTGTTTGTTTTGACAGTTTATAAAGACTTATTTTAATGGGCTCCTATCTAATCTCTTGTTATCCCTACTGCAGATACCGCAAGCTAGCCCTAAAGTGGCATCCAGATAAAAATCCAGACAATAAGGACGAAGCTGAGAGGCGTTTTAAAGAAGTTGCGGAAGCATATGAAGTATTATCCGATGGTGCGTATGGCAGATGTCTGTCTGACTTTACAAGGAAAATGTATAATTTGTTTTTCTGAAAGTAAAGCATTTCATGTAATAGCTTTATAATGTAATATTCTGAAGTTTAATATTTTTTTCAGTGCATCTTCTTACTTTGCGCTGCTCCATGGGGTCTGCCATTTATAGCCCTTTTTTTCTGGAAACTTTATCTACTGAAACCATACCCAAAGGATATATTCATCTTTATACTATTGTAGCCATCTAGTCATGTTAAATAGCATGAGGGTCTTCCTGACCAGAGTGCACGTAATGGAAGTGGGGCATGATTGTCAGTATCCCACTGTATCGTGAAATGTCATACAGTAAGCTTAAAAGCATGCACTAGACTTGCAGTGATGGCTAACATTGATACCATAAATTGTTTCTGGACTATATTTCCCTTGATGGTCCGCTAGCTTTTAGACTCTATATGTAAATGTAGTCCAGAAACTATTTATGGTGTCAAGGTTAGCTATCACTGCACTAGAGCTTACCCTTTCATATTAACCCCTTAAGGACCAAACTTCTGGAATAAAAGGAAATCATGACATGTCCCACATGTCAGGTGTTGTTAAGGGGTTAAACACAAATTTTTTTTTTTTTTAATTTATTTTTTTTAAATAATCCATGAAAACAAAATGTTTTTTAATATTTATAACCATATATCTGTGTGTGTCTGTGTGTGTATGTGTATATATATATGTGTGTGTGTGTGTATGTGTATGTATATATATATATATATATATATATATATATATATATATATATATATATATATATATATATATATATATATATATATATATATATAAAAATATACATACACCGTATAAGCCGAGTTTTTCGGCACATTTTTTGTGCTGAAAAACCCCAACTCGGCTTATACTCGAGTCACTGTCTGTATTATGGCAACTTACAATGCCATAATACAGACTGGGGGCTGGCAGAGCTGTTACTTACCTCTCCTGTCAGCTCCCTCCTCTCTCTCTCCTCCTCCGCGCCGGTCCGGTCAGCACCTCGGTCAGCTCCCAGTGTAAGTCTCGCGAGAGCCGCGGGGTCATAGTGCGGCTCTCGCGAGACTTACAGTGTGAGCTGAGAGAAGAGCTGCACGGACCGGCGCGGAGGAGGAGAGAGCTGACAGGAGCTGCAGGAGAGGTAAGTAACAGCTCTGCCAGCCCCCCTCCTCCCCCCACTGAACTGCCAATGCCACTGGACCACCAGGGAAGGAGAGCCCCCCTCCCTGCCATGTATCAAGCAGGGAGGGGGGACAACAAATAAATAAATAAAAAAATAATAACAAAATATTAAAACAAAAAAATTAAAATAGTTTTAAAAAAAATAATAAAAATGCCCACCCCCCACCAAGGCTCTGCAACACACACAAACACACTGCACTCATACGCACACACACTGCACTCATACGCACACACACTGCACTCATACGCACACACACTGCACTCATACGCACACACACTGCAAATAAATATTCAATTAATATAATTTTTTTAGGATCTAATTTTATTTAGAAATTTACCAGTAGCTGCATTTCCCACCCTAGTCTTATACTCGGGTCAATAAGTTTTCCCAGTTTTTTGGGGTAAAATTAGGGGCCTCGGCTTATACTCGAGTATATACTGTGTGTGTGTGTGTGTGTGTGTGTATGTGTGTGTGTATATGTGTGTGTGTGTGTATATATATATATATATATATATATAATTTTTTTTTTTTTTTTTCCTCTCCCATATTCTGCTTACAAACTGTAATACATTGTTTGTAACTGTTTTAAATGTGTTTACATTTTCTTTCTATTTCTCCCTTAATTTATATAAAACTACAATGCATTTGTATGTATTTTGGTTTTGTAGCAAGTTTGATGACTTCCAACCCCAAATCCCCCATGTAAATATCTTACTGGAGTATCACTTTAATATAGAAAAGCTTTATTATGATGCACAGAGATGCTTGATTATTCCTTAACACCTTTTACTTATGAATGAAAACAAAAGTCTGGATTCTGCCCAAAAATATAAATATCTAAATTTCAAAACAATGAAAATGAGACCTTTTGGCTCTTGTAATAACTGATATGTCCGTCGTCTTGGAAAGCACTCTCTATACTATTTATAGCAAGAGCGTGTCTGTGTTCTGCTGCAAAGCAGTGAGAAGGTCCAAAAATAGCCATGCAAAATGAACTCTAGCACATCTAAAGTCCAACTGCCTGCATTAAAACTAACCCTGGGTAAACTGCATTGTTGGTGCACATAAATAATTTTTCATTGTTCTTCCCTGTTGCAGCTAAAAAGAGGGATATCTATGACCGATATGGAAAGGAAGGATTAACAAACAACGGAGGTGGTGGTGGTGGTGGTAAGTGGCTGTGCAAATACTTTAATTTAAAATTGTTTTGTTTTAAATTCTCATTCCTTTTGTGGAACCAGTAAGGTTTGGGTTTTTATGGTGTTAGAGTCTAGCAATTCTTAGTGTTTTATTTTTTTCTTTATTCTCCCTTTCAGTTATACTTTTATATTTAAATACAGCTGTGTATTTTTAGATTTTTATTTACTTTTAAAACATTTGTATTGATTTTTTTATTTTATTTAAAAATGTGGAAACGAAAGTATAAGGCTCCTAAAGGGTGAAGAAGACTGTAAAGTTAGAAGAGGTGGTGTCAGTGAAGGTCATCTAGGTGTGTAGAACTTGTCTCAAATCTTAACGGTATACTTAAGGACTATAGTGTAAGAATAGCCAAGTAAGTTAACTAGAATCGAACTGCTTGCAAAGTGAACACATCTAGTTTAAATCACTGGTCTCAAACATCAGCCACCAATTTTTTAAATGTTGCATAAGAGCTTAGGGTCCATACTGGTTTTAACTGATTAAAACTTTGCCCTGTTACTTATATACTTCAATTTACTAATTTTTATTTTTCAGGTGGAAGTCATTTTGACAATCCGTTTGAATTTGGATTCACATTCCGTAGTCCTGATGATGTCTTCAGGGAATTTTTTGGAGGAAGAGATCCATTTTCATTTGACTTATTTGGTACAGTATTGTCTCTATTTTGTAAAATTTTGCGCTATATAAAAAATAATTATATTGTTACAATGGTACCTGTCAAGGGGGTGGTATATATTAAACAGTAAGTGAACAGTAAGCTTTTAAATTTCATGTGTTCAAAGCAGGAAAAATGGGCAAGTGAAGACATATGCGACTTTCACAAGGATTGCATGGAGACACATTGCCCATCAATAATTATACCATTACTATATCTATATATCAAAACCAATCTACTATAGTTTAACAAGTGCATTCTTATTTAAATTAAATCAAATGCCATTAATGTTTGAGCAGCATCTATCCATATATCATTGTCAAAACTTGTTTGCAATGTCACCAACAAATTTAAAATTATAATAAAAATAAAAAAATGATCCAACAGGAAATATACTTGTATGTATGTTTATAGATGAAATGTATGGTGACTCTGAAAATGTAACACAATTCTATATGGGATACATGGTGCTCAGGAAAAAGAAGCCATTGTTTAACTATTGTATAGTAATGATGACTAACGAGGAATGTGTCTCCATGTAATGTTCTATACACACGATGTGTGTGTTTAATTATAAAATGCATTTATGTGCCTTTAAGTGGAGCAGAGGAACAGATCCAATTAACTTTGTGATGGACTTGAAAGCCCAGAATTTTCCGTATAATTGTGGAACTTCAGCATGAGTTTACTATATACTCAGAAGTTATTTAGTAGACTAGGTCTTGCGTATACTGTTCCATAGAGGATCTGCGACTGGCTCCTGTAATAGGATTTGGTGCACTGCCAGCAAATGGACTCTTCATCAAGTCACTGGCTTGAGGCTGGCTGCTTATTATAGAGTGCTTTCTGCATTGTCATTTTACTTTTCAGATTTACTGTCTGTGTTTTATGTCCACTTTAATCCCTTATATCATGTACTGTGGTTTTTTTTTTTCTTGTAACAAAATCTTGAATTATTTTTCTGCATAGATTAGCACTACCTAATTTATTTGTGTTTTTTTTTTACACAGTTTAGTGAGGTTTAACAGTTTTTCTAACAATGGTTTCAAGTGTTCTATTTTCAAATCTCATTTTTCAATTTCGTTTATATTCTATATAATTTTTTTTGACAAATGCCAAATAGTGATAGCTAGACAACTGGGTCAGAGCACCTCCAAAACTGCAAGTCTTGTGGGGTTTTTCTGGGATGCAGGGATTAGTACCTACCAAAAGTGGTGCTAGGAAAGACAACCGGTTAAACAGTGTCCAGGTCCTCTGCGCCCAAAGGCTCATTGAGGCACATGGGGATTGAATGTCACACAAGGAAAAGGGATGCGCCGCTTAAAATCACCATAACAAAATTTATTTTTCTTGTGACATTCTTTTAGATTTTCTAAAGGGTTGAGGGATACCCTTTTAGGGTTGCTGCCTTTTGTTTACTATTTGGTTATTTAGTGCTGGCCAATTTGTGTGTTTTTAACATGGGGAATGTAGACTAGCAGTCGGGTCCGATCACACAGAAAAGCTAAGCTAGCTGAAAACCTTAATGCTGGCCATGATTGAACACACTTTGCATTCCAGTTTGCAGTGGGTGGAGCTGCATAGCCACAGGCCATCAGAGTGCTAATGATGACCCCCGTCCACCGCCGCACTTGCAATGGGGACGTGAGCATCTGAACTGGACAATGGAGTAATGGAAGATGGTTGCCTGGTCCGGTGTATCACGGTGGATGGCAGGGTGCATGTGTGTCACTAACCTAGGGTAGAGATGGCAGCAGGATACACTATGGGGGAAAAAAGCAGGCTGGCAGAGGCACTGTCATGCTCTGGGCAATGTTCTTCTGGGTCCTGTCCTTGGGTCCTGGCATCCATGTTGATGTTACTTTGCCACATATCACCTACCTACAGATTCTTGCAGACCATGTAAACATTCTTGGCTATTGTACTCACTGATGGCATTGGCCTCTTTCAGCAGGATAATGCACCATACAACCCTTTACAAACTGTTCAGGAATTGTTTGAGGAACATGCCAAAGAGTTCAGGTGTTGCCTTGTCCTCCAATTTCCCCAGATATGATGTGCTGGACCAACAAATCTGATTTATGGAGGTCCCACCTTGCTATTTGCAGGGCTTAAATGTCTGCTGCTATTGTTTTGGTTCCAGATACAACAGGAGACAATCAGAGGTCTTTTTGAAGCCTATGCCTCAAAATACCAGCAATGTTTTTGCAGCACGAGGGGGAACTACATGATGTTCTAAAGGGGGCTTCAATGTTGTGGTTGATTAGTGTATGTTGACATTTCCAATTGAGGAAAAAATTGATCACCAAAACTATATGAAATCTTTTTGTAATTCTAAAAATTGTGACTTGCATTTTAGTAGTCTAAGCTGTTTAAACGAACACTCCAGGCATCATAACTATATCGGAATGAAGTTCTAGTGAGAGGAGGTCCCTTTGAGAACGGTTTAACCTCTTATGGCAAGAGTGCTTGAGGGCCTCCTGGCACCATTTCTTCATTTAGAAGATGTTGTATGGTGACCAAGCAGTTTGCCTCCAGGGCCTATCTCCAGCTCTCCCAGGAGGCATATGGCTTTTGAATCTTAAGTTATAGGAAGCGTAGAGTGCTGTTGAGGCGCCACTGATTGGCTACAGTGATCAGCTGGCGTTCTAAGTCAATCGGTAGCTTCCCATTAAGTGCTTAAAAAAAAAAATGTAAAAAAATGTGCCTTTATTTTTTAAAATAACATCTTGCCAGATAAGCTTACCTTTTAATCGTTTTTCTGTGGCTATTAAAAGGTCTGTAATTTAACTGTGCACAGGGATTTGGGATTATGTGCAAATAACCTTATTTTTGTATTGCTTGTTTCGGCTGAAAAATACTGTAGCCATTTCTGACTCCCAAATACGAGCAGTTCTTTGTGTGGGTTTTTTTTTTTTTTTTGGGAATAGATTGTCCTTAAAGTGGCACTCCTAAACGTCATGACTACTGCAGCTCTCTGTACTGGGCAGGCAGCCTTTAGTTCCCTGCCATCTGCCTGACAACAAAGTACCATTTTCATATCTGATCTAGTGATAATGTATGATTAACTGCATTTTTCATGTCGATTTTGTCGACAGACTCAGATTTGACTGCATATGCTGACTTTTTTCGTGTGTGTGTATGATATATCTTTAATCATTTGCTAGATTATGCAGTTTTACTAGTGCAAGTTCATGGCATCACCTTGCTGTGTGAGCAACAGGTGCGTTAAAATATCAATCTACTTCTCCCACAGCTAGTCCTCTTACTTCAACACTTATTTACATGGTAACAGAATTAAAGGGACACTATAGTAATCTGAACAACTTTAGCTTAATGAAGCAGTTTTGGTGTATAGAACATGCCCCTGCAGCCTCACTGCTCAATCCTCTGCCATTTAGGAGTTAAATGCCTTTGTTTATGAACCATAGTCACACCTCCCAGCATGTGACTTGCACAGCCTTCGATAAACACTTCCTGTAAAGAGAGCCCTATTTAGGCTTTCTTTATTGCAAGTTCTGTTTTAATTAAGATTTTCTTATCCCCTGCTATGTTAATAGCTCGCTAGACCCTGCAAGAGCCTCCTGTATGTGATTAAAGTTCAATTTAGAGATTGAGATACAATTAAGGTAAATTACATCTGTTTGAAAGTGAAACCAGTTTTTTTTATTTTTCATGCAGGCTCTGTCAATCATAACCAGGGGAGGTGTGGCTAGGGCTGCATAAACAGAAACAAAGTAATTTAACTCCTAAATGACAGTGAATTGAGCAGTGAAATTGCAGGGGAATGATATATACACTAAAACTGCTTTTATTTAGCCAAAATAATTTAGGTGACTATAGTGTTCCTTTAATTTTTTCCCAAAATGTTGTACAAGGTTTCTGTTCTAAACCACTACACAATGGTTTATATACTCAACTGTTCCTGAAACCGATATATGTGTGTGTGTGTGTATATTAGTGCCTCAGGAGTCCATCCTGCCACCTCTGGACCAGTATGAGAACCACGACACAGTGTCCACTAACACATGTGACCAGGGTAGTACCCCGGGTCAGATCCTGTGGAGGGTGCTCTCTCAGGTATGTGGGCGGTGTTCAGGCCGAAGCCCCTTCTGGGTTCCCAGATCAGAATGCGAGGACTCCACTTCTTTCTCAGGGATCGCCTGCTAGGTGCTGCCCTTATCTGAAGACTGTGCAAGGATTGCTCACATATTTTATCAAAGCATGCGCAGAAGGCCTCTCTCCAAGCCTCCAGCGGGGTTGCCACTGACTGCTGTGGCAGTACGGGGGTCGCCACTATCTTGAGGTCTGGTGATTTTCCACCACTGCCTTGCGAGAGTGAGCCAGAGGGCAAGCCGGTCGGCCGTCCCAGCCAGAAACATACTAGGCCGTGGTTTCACAGGTCCGGAGCTCTGTTGCAGCTAATTGCCAGATCGCACCAACTGATGCCCAGAGCATCCCAGACACGCTCCGACGGGCTCAAGAACAGTTTGCGCCACTTTTTGTTTGACTGTTTACCTGCCTCGTCTTTCTCTCTCCCTCCCCCTTCCAGTTTTTGCTTTCTCCTCCTGTCGCTGTCCTATTTACAGTGTGGGGTCTAGGGGTATGTTGAGTCCTGTGTGTCTTTGTCTTCCCCTCTTTCTTCCTATCTGTTTGTAGTATTCTTTTTGGGATTCTTCCAGGTCTCACGGGGGGGAGGGGGGGTGCAGTGTTTGGGGTAGTCTGGTCTGTATGTGTTTGTCAAGATGGGTAGCTATGGTCATGTCTTTGGTGTGGGGAGCCAAGGTGCTCCGCCTTCTGGGTGGCAGGGTCCTTGTTCGGTTAGTCTCCCACTCCCTATTGATTGTCTGTTGTGGCCTCCCTTAGCATGGTTTGGAGAGCCCCGATGGCGAGAGGGGCCGAGGGTGCTGGTGTACGGGCGCCCCCTTCTAAGTCAGATCCCTGGTCATCCTCGTGGTCGGATTGGGTAGGCCTCTGTGTCTCTCCTGGAGTGCGGAATAGCGTTGCTACCGATGGCGGGAGCTCTTTTTTTTTTTTTTTAAACCCCCGATTGTCGTAGTCGTGAGGCTCGGTTTTGGTTTTCTTTTAGTGCTGTGTTTAGGGGTTTCGGAACAATGGGTGATGCGGATGGTGGCTGATTTAGTGCTTAGGGGAGAGGGAGCTGCGGGATTACGCGTCCATCTTCCTCCGAGGTTAGGCTCTGTCCCCCTTCACCTGTATAGTTTAATGGCATCTATAACATAGACCGGGTTACACTGAAGAGCAACAACTTAAATTTTATGGAAGTATCCAGGCACACAAGCAGAGTTGTGGTGATACGTCTACTTTCTAGATAGCTACCTCATTGTAGTTGCTTTTTCTGCAACCTATTGTTACACGTCTGTATGTGTGGTTTTTTTTTTTTATGTTTTGCAGAATTTCTAGTGATGTTTGCTTTTAATGACTTTTCCATGTTATTTACTTTCCAAATTGAGGTGTTTACACAGTGATGACATGATTTCCCAGTAATACACTGCTGCTCATTAAGAATCCATTTTTCACTCTCATAGTTAGTATGTCTCCATAACCCGTTTATGGCGCTATTTATCACAATGAACTCTTCAGTTATCCACGGTTTATGTAGCTTGTCATTTTGGGTTTCACTTACTGTGTATTCCATGCAGTTGAGCTGTGTATAATAATCCCTTTTCTCTTTGTCCAGATGATCCATTTGATGACTTCTTTGGTAATAGGAGAGGACCCAGGGCACCCAGAAATAGACCTGCTGGAGGCCCCTTTTTCTCTGCTTTTGGTGGTTTCCCTAGCTTTGGAGGGGGCTTCTCTCCATTCGACACAGGTAAAGTTATAATTAACTATGATAGTGTGCATCTTCTGGCATTTACCTTAAGTGTATTAATGGTGGTTCATCAGCTGTAAAACTCATTTATGTGCTTTGGGGGCAATATCTGCTTTCTGGTGAATAGAGCAAAGTATTTCCCAATTCCTTTATTTAATATGACATTGCTTGTTTGAACACCGCTAATAAATCGTCACAGAACACGCTATGCCCTGATGATGCTTAGATGCCACTGTAACAGAACCGTGGCTGGCACAAGGTGTATGTATATATGAAATGCTTATACAATAAATGTTTAACTATTAATTATATGCTTAACGGTTTGCAGCTGTGTGTGTGTGTGTGTGTGTGTGTGTGTGTGTATGTATGTGTATATATATGTGTGTGTGTGTGTGTATATATATATATACACACACACAAAACTGCAAACCGTTAAGCATATAATAAACAGCTAAACATTTATTGTATAAGCAGTTCAACTTACTTGTTTAGCAAAACTTTCAATGGAATCCAGGCACTGCGATCTGTTAACAGCAGCTATATTGTAGAGGTGGGCCTAGCAACAGTTTGTTTAAAGGAACATTAAAAGCACCACAATGACAGCAGCTTACTATTGTTTTTGGTGCCAAGACACACTTAACACCCCTGCTATAAGTAGTCAAACAGTTATTGCACATTTTGCCTTTTTACCAGGGGTCCACTTTGACATTTCTCCCTATCTGGATATATCACATGGCTATCTAAGCCTGCCCCCACATTAATCCATTTGATGCATTAAAGGCATTGTTGTGTGGTAAGCTGCTCAAGTGAATGCTGTACACAGACTCCTTCACAAGGTTGAATGAGGGTGTAGATAAACGATCAGCAACCAGGATATGGATGCTATTTATAAGTCTATAGTTTCTGTAATCTTATCTGATGACTGAATCTGCATCTAGGGACTGAACTTTATATAGCATTGTATAAACATGTTAGACAGAGACTCCTCGTTATAGCCTGGTCTAGTAAAGGGTTGCTGTGGTCTAGAGGGAACTTTAAATATACTGCCTAATTCAGTGCTGAAAATGTCCTCCCGCCATTGGCAAGTGGAAAAATCTGTCCTGTTGAGTAGAAATACACCCATGGTGAGTGTGGTCAAACACAAAAAAACATGGCGAGTGTGCCATGGACCGTCTAGGCTTGCAGTGGCTGGTAACTATTAAATCCTGGCTAGTAGTGTTGGGCTTACACTTTAAACCCTGATTTACTTAATATATAAAAAAAAAATGAAGTCAATTTGTCGATGGCTGTATTACCTGTGTGTAAAATGGCATTGTAATACAGAACTGGATATGGGAATGAGACCAGCTCGAATGCTGACAGGCAAGGCCTTGTTTCTTACCTCGAGCACTCAAAATTACTAATCCTACATCATTCATTTCCTGACTTGTACTACTGTGACTGCTGTTTTTGTGTTGGAATAAAAACGCTAGATAACTCCGTGTAGACCAAGTTTCCAGATATCACAAAAATACTTTAATATTGATGGTAACCTTGTTGATAGTACAGAAGGGACCTCAAAAGTGGCATTCTGAAAAAACGTTTTTATTTGTATTCTAAAACTGGCAACATTTTAAGACAATCCTGGACATCGTCATTCAGTCAAACTCTGAGCACACTTATTTTCTATTTTGCTTTAAAAACATCGTAAAGAGATATGAGAAGACGGCTAAACTTTAGCAGCTGCTTTTCTAATGCATGTTCTTGATTCCATGGAAGTTGAGGCAGCCAAGAGTCTACAATGGGGTCTGAGTATCCTTAATGAATACATCTCTTTAAGACTGAAATGCAAGGTTTGTTATTTTTTTAAAATTTTTATATGTAATCTTAACTTCTCAATTTTGCTTTCATACACAAAAGGCTTTACATCTTCATTTGGTTCAATCGGACATGGCGGCTTCACTTCATTTTCCTCTTCATCATTTGGAGGATCAGGAATGGGTAACTTCAAATCTGTATCAACCTCAACCAAAATGATTAATGGCAGGAAAATAACCACAAAGAGGTAATGTGTATTGTGCATGATTTCATTTGGGAGTGCGAGTTCATCTTATTTATACATTTTTTACTTTTTAATGGGAACTCAACTTTCAAATTGTCTCTTGATGTTGAATTAGGGTGATGGGTATTTTACTTCATTATCAGAGCAAATATTTGTAATTTCGTGTGAAATTTTTAATTTCACTTGTTAAAGCAACACTGTCAATGTCAGGGGACTTTGCTGAATTTTCAAAGATCCCTTACTGTGACATCACCACTAATGGTCCGGCAGTGGGTGGCGGCAGGTAAAGGTTAATTCTACTTGAGTGGCCATCTTGGAAAATTAGAGACCAAAAAGTACCTACTTTGTCTGAATATTTTTCTTGACTGGGTTGGAATTTCGGTGATATTTCAACATAGTAAAAATTATTTTTATATTTGAATCAAAGCATCTCTATGGGGAACGTTTAGCGTCTCCATGCAGAGGGTGAAGTCGCTTAGTGTAGGTGCTGCATACTGTGTAGCACTGGAGTAGGAAGCACCTGTCGTGACTGTCTGAGTGACTTCCACTAGAGGTGTTACTAGGCAGTAATGTAATACTGACTTTTCTGAGAAAAGTGTTTGCATTGAATTACCTGCAAGGACATGCTAAAGACACTAGAACCACTTAATTAAGCTGTAGCCGTTCTGGTAACTATAGCGTCCCCTTATTTGTTTGATACTCTCTTCAATGTCCTATTGTCTAAACTGCAAATGTGTTGCAGGACTATTACATTCACCATTGAAATTACTTTTTAATTGTCCTACTAGTAAATTAAGTCTGTTAAAATATCAGCATGACCGAAAACAACAAATTACTAGTTTTTTTTTTATTTTGTTTTTTTTAATTTGAAGGCTCCAGGCCACGGCAAAATACCCTACAGAGAATTTAAACTTGTCTTAAGTAGTTCCTATAACTTACCTATGTAGGCTCTTCTTTGGTCATAATATCGTCCATTGCAAGATTTGTAGCTAGTTACAGCACATGCTTGCTTTGCTTTTCCCATTATGTTTAGCCAGCATATAGTGGCTACCAAACGTCCTTGGCACCAAGGTGAGTAACCTATGCTCTGATCTGTTGAGCACGGTACATCTGTTTTACCTGTGTTATCAGACAGACTTGGATGTGTAAAATGGATTGCAAATGTGACTTGCATAGAAAGAAAGTTGATGTGAATTCCCTGGAGATCTGAAAATGTTCTGGGTGAAACTGGGTACCTACGTTTTTACGTATGAAGCTTCTCATGCATTGTATACTTAAGCATTTTATTATGGTAGCTTCACTTTTCAGTTCGGTTTTTAAAAAGCAGCCCTGAGGAAAATGTAATTCTCCAAATCAGTGTAAGGTGTTAAAAACAAGTTTTGACAAAGCCATTTGCCCATTAGAAGAACCTTTATGCAGCGTTCCTAGTCTATCTCTAATATACTTATACATCTGTTTTAATTCTGAAACCGTACAAAAGAACATATTTATATTGAAATAGTTTAAAGAACACCGGTTTGGGACTCGATTGGACTAGAAAGGAACATATGTTTTTAGTGTTGTGAATTTTATGTCCTGCAACGGTATTAACATTATATTTATATGCATCTAAGTGCATATCCAATTCCTTTGGCAAGTGTTTTTTTTTTTTATTATTATTAATTTTCATATAAACTGTTGAAATGCGATTTTTGGACTTGAACTTTTTTCTAATCAGTATAGGTAATTTTTTTTAATGAGATTTTTGACTGTCTAAATTCTATTCATTACTAAATGATAGGGCACACTCAAATAGAATATATAAACCATTTTATTTTAATTGTTTACATTTATTTATTTTTATATTGTAACTCCTGCAATCATTTTCTTACATCTCCTTTTACTTAACCAGCTTTGGGCAGCATGCCTGTTTTTAGTATGATTAATTTTTTAAATGGCATAATTTAATAACCCTTACAATAAAGGCAAAAGCACTTTTTTTTTTTTTTTTAAGTCAACTCATTATAAAATTGTGTTTGTGTAGTCGTTTGATGGCCACAAGGGAATGTAACAAACATATGGGTGCTTTCTGGGAGTCAAAGTAAACATGGTAGCACTTTGTATAATATAAGACCAGCTATATTCTGAGGTCCCACATCTTTAAATTAAAAGGGTGTGTTAATGGTGACTAACAACAACATAAAGGTGTATTAATCCCAGTGCGTCTCATAATGGGATTGAGCCTCAAGCATAATGGGTTAGTGGGCTAACACCACAGGTCAGGAAGTAAACCGAAGACAAATATATCTTTAATGAATGCATTGGCTGCTGATTTTTCTCTTTTTTTTTTTTTTTGGATTGGTTCTATAGCTTTGCCTGAAGATGGTATTCTAAACCTAGATAGACTTTTTCCTCTGCAATAACTCATAGTTTTTTGTTTGGTCGCACAGGATTGTTGAGAACGGACAAGAACGAGTCGAAGTTGAAGAAGACGGACAGTTAAAGTCCTTAACAATAAATGGTAAGGAGCAGATGCTACGCTTGGATAACAAGTAAAATCAACGCACGCATGTATCAGAAATATTAACCTAAAACAAGCACCATTTGTGGATTATCAGGAACATTTTTGAAGATTTCAAAAAGAACTGTTCAGAGTTTCTGCACTCTAAGCTAAGATATAATAAAGAAGCTTGTTTGAGTTTCTGATATTTAGCAGATTCTCAGTTCTATTTTGGGACCACGTTCATATGACATTTTTTTTTTTTTTTTTTTTTGAATTCTTTTTTTCTTATGTCTTAATATCGTAATTATCTGTATGCACTTTTAAAGTAGCCTTTCTAATTGCCAGATGTTTGCTGTAACAGTATAGTACGCATTGCTCTGGCAGTTGAAGGATTAAGCGGAGGTGAACTGTGATATTTCATAAGTGGTTGAGCAGATCGTCCACTAACAGCATGACTTTTGTGGTTTTCTTTTTTTTTTCTTTTTTCTTTTTTTTTTGTCAAATTTTGTTTAAAATGTGATGAAAGTGATAACTGTCCAAACTGCTATAAAGTTGACTTTCCCAGTGAACCTTTTTCCAGCAATGCGCATAAAACCACCTGCATTTCAGATTTCAAAAAATTGCGTGTATGCGCCAGCACGTGTAGTTTTAATAATTTTTGAACGCTGTTAAAAACTGTCATTCCACCAAACAAGATAAAGGAAAGACCATTCTTTTCAGTAATATTTGTTCATTTTTGTTGTTTGCTAAAAAGTTGGACGTGAATAAATGCAGACGTTTGTAGTGCATTCTCTTTAAGTTCATATGTAGCATTCTTGTGTCTGTGTGCAATTTGGGTAATTTTAATCTGATCCTTTGCTTTGCTTTAAGTTAACTTTGTATGTTTAAACCTGAGGGGGTGACATGTCTTTTTAAATCAAGCTTCCTATCCTGCTTACTAGCTGACACTCAACCTTGCTGTCTCACTGTTTTGACACTTTAACTACAACTCAACCTTTTTACAGTCATACATTCCACGAATGGAACGTTTTTTTTTTGTATATTGTCCCCAAAACATTGAGAATCCTTAAGAAAAACAGCAGCGTGCAAAAATTTGGCTCACATTTAAAGCAAAACAATCTTCACAATTACTATAAAAAAAACAACCTATAAGGTCTTGGCAGAAGAACTTATTACAAAGTTATTACAAAGTTCTACAGAACACCTAAAAGTTAATAGCTTAAGAATTAAACAATGTTGTATATTAAGTTCGATCTTCAACACATCTGTCACTGTGGTTAATCCAAGCAAACTCCAATTGGGAGTCATGTCCAGCAGATTTATTTGGGACACTAGATTTGAACTCCATCCCCATGAGTTTACATCCAATATTCGTTCATTTGTGGCCAAACATGTTGCATCTTTATAATGTTTCAATGGGGAACCTTAAATGGATAAACATTGAATTGATGCTAATGGCTGTTGATTTGAATACTTGCTTTTCACCCTCTATCCTCTCTACCTGACTCTTGAGAAACCAGTGATGTTCAGACATACCAGTACAGCTACAAGGGGGTTTTCTAACTCTGGTCCTGAATTGGTAAAATAGTTGCTACAATTGTGCTCCTTCCCCCATCATTTCAAGTCTGAGACTACTTTTTGTTCTAATGGAATTCTGTGTCAGATACGCCCAGTCTTTATCGAAAAAAATGTGGACTGCAATCTATGATTAGCATCCTTTTTTTTTAAAAAGGTTTTTATTTGTTTACAGTCTAATCTCACTGGTTTCTTAATGGGTAAACATATATATTTAAAAAAAAAAAAAAAATTAAAGCTTTTATGCCTGAGGATTTCACACGCACACTGTTTGTCTTAACACACAAGGTTTTCAACATTTCAACAGCAGGAAAAGATCAACTCCTTTTTTTTAATGACCTGTTGGTGTTTACCTGATGTAATGCTGCAAAATAAAGTGCTCTGTAGTTGGAGTTGCTTGTCTTATTTCCTGTGGAATTCCGATGGCGTGCAAGCACTTGGGCCGACTGTGTGGAGTTTGATTCACATAATGCATGGTGTGCACTTTATTTTATTTACACTGTATGTCCTTGCATCTGTACACAGCTTTCACGACTATTTAGAAACCTTTATTTGGATTCCGTGAAATGGCCTCGTTGGGGAAACAGCAATCATCCTCTAACTTTACATATGGAATCGTACGTGCACTTCATGTATTTCACAAGTGCTACATCTCAAGGTTGCCCACATATACGGTCATGTGTTTAACACTTTCAGAAAAGAGCTACTGATTAATTTTATAATGGGGTTGGCTCAGCCTACTGGGATTACTAATAAAATGGCATTGAGGAGGCTACTTTTGCTAATCCCTTCACAAGTGGGTGCCTTTATGGCAGACTGTAGGTCTGACAAAATGCTCCTCAACTAAGGCAATTCATTTGTTTTTAAATACTCCATCCCAAGTCTACAAATCTACACAAAATAATTGAAGTATATGACCTAAATGTGAAGAATAGCAAACATAAAAGTTGAGTAACTGGCAAGCATGACTTGGAACTTGTCTGTCTTGTCTTATTAACCTTTTGTTTCAGCCTGGGTGATTACATGGTGAATCTGTGCATGATCTAATAAAATGTATGTTTACATTGCAATAGTGCATGTATTTTAATATATGTAATCTTCCTAGGAAATATCTAGAAGACTTTTAAAAAGAAAGTACTGACATTTGTTTTTATTATTGTCCTTATGGGCAAAGTAGTACTTGCACACACAATTCCTAAATAGTAAAATTGGGCAGAGTTAGATTGTTAGATTTTTAGATTTCAAATCTGGATCTGTCTCTAAATGCAAACCATCCAAGTTTTTTTTTTTTTATGTTTGTATGTATACACACACGCTTCAAAGTTAAATTGGGCAAATCTGGGATTTGTGGTTTTAAAATGTTTAAAAAAAAAAAAAAATTTAAGATTTTATTTTTTTTGCTTGATTCAAATGTACTTGGCTCTTCTTTCCCTTCAGTAAGCACACCTTTGCATGTCTTCAAATCCTGAATGAGACCGCAAATACTTACAAGCATGCAGCCTAGCAAAGAGTAAAAATTTTGGATTAAAAAAATTCTTTAAATATATTTCCCATGCTTATAGAGTTGAAAAGTGACCCTTTTTAAAAAGGGAAACAATATTTCCCTGTGTTATGTTTGCTTGTAACCAATTTGCTTGTCTTTGGGAAATGTCAAATCTACCTAATCCAACTAACGCTCTTCATTTTCTCATATTACCCACTTTCCGTGGACACAAAGATATGCTACAGTATGTGTGTTCAATTTTGCATGTTATCTTTTGGCTCCTGAAGTAATTTTCCTGAATATTGTTGACCTATGAATATAGTTGAAGTACAACTTCCTGTTACTTTGCCATTCCATTGAAGGTTTTTTGGCATTGTTTAAAAGAATGGTTTTTAATAGTGAGTTTTGGGGCATAGATGCTGCCCCTTGCAATCTTGTAGTTTTAAACCGTGGCTTTGAGAAGGCAAAATTTGCATTATGTAGTTTCCAATCTCTTAGTGCTTGTCAAAGAGAAGGCCATTAGCAGCTTCAGATTATAATAGATTCCATAGTTGAATCTATTTTAGGACACTAGGTGCACAATATGCCTGCAGTTCTGGAGAGAGGAGGCTGTCCCTACGCTGCGTTATTTATTTTTTTAATTGCTTTTTTAAAAAGCTTAGAGTCCTATTTATAACCAAATTAATGTACCTCGTTTTATTTTAGTTATTTAAAGGTGCGTTCCACCTATTCTGTTGAATAGAACACCTTTTTATAACTAAATGAGAATATTATTTGGTTATACTACACAATGTTAATGTCATGTTTATTCAACTCATTTGTTGTGCCAGTACTATAAATCGGGCATGTGTCATTTCACATATTAAGAGTTCTACCGCTCACTTGCCTGGGTAGTTTCTCTGAACTCTGTGGGCTAGGAAAGTTACATGCAGCTTTTGTATATGCCTAAAGAAAATACAAACTTTAGAGACACATTTGTTTTTTTTTTTTTATTATTATTATTATTATTATTGTAACTAGTGTAAGAAGATATAAGGCGGATCTTGCAGTATTTTCCATAAACCCTCATTTTTTCTGAAGGTACATGTGACAGCAGGCATGTTTATATGCATCACTTAACCTTTGATTGCTTCTTTGGAACCTTCTATAGAAATGTGTGAACCATGCAGTTATGACAGGTTTTAAGGAAAGCTGGACAGATATATTTAAGGGCAAAAAAAAAAAAGCAATGCCTCCTCAATCACATCCAGTGGTCGAAATTGTCCATAAAACTTACACAATAAATCTGTTTCAGAACTCCATCTCACCTAGGATTTTGTGGATAATGCATATGTGAAGTAATGTGGATCCTCAAACATTTATGCTTTTATATCTCACCAGGGATTTGCAGGTTTATTAATGGGTGATCACCAAAACAGGAGGTGGCCTGGGGAATAATGTAGAAAAATACTATAAACTCTGCTGCATTTCAACAATTTACCTGAAGTTACTTGAAAAACCTTTCCAATTGATCTTCAAGAGTTACTATAACCACTTCTGCTTTTAGAATGTCATGGTCGTAGAATCTGCATGTGCAGTACTTTGCTGGAATCATTGCACATACAGCGTAATCTGCACCTTTGTACCGTGAGGGAGGTGACCATTTTGTGCACAAAAGTGCACAAAAGTGCACAAAATGGTGTGAGTGCTCCTAAGTTGACCGGCCTAAATCTCCCCTTTCTGTTTTTTATTTTTCAGCCCTTGCCTTTTGTTATAGTTAGTATGTGTGTAAAGATATAGAATTTTTTAAATTTTTTTTCCTTTTACAAGGTAATATGGGGAGGTGGTGGTGAGGAATTACTATTTGAATACAAAAAAATTTGAAAAGGGTTACAGTAATCACTTGATTTTCAAAAATCTTGTGCGCAGTGGCAATTAGTTATATATTTTAAAATGTCAAACATTGAGAGTCAGAAGTGAGACGCTCCGCTCTGATACAATCACATTCTCAAATGCTTTACCGTGTGCTATCCACATATCGTAATGTAAATTTTTATGAAATTGCTGTAGGTTATGTGGATAATGCACAGCAGTCTATTTGAGAACATAGACTTGTGTACTTTTGTTTTTTATTTGTGTGGGTGTTTTGATGAATTGCCCTTTGTCAGAAGAAAAGTTAATGTTTGTGCTTACAAATCTGCAATTTTTCAAACTAAATTTTTTTTGTATTTCTTTTTTTTTTTTTTTTTCACCTATTTTCCCCCCATCATTTTTCTTGTCTTTAATAGGCAATCTGTTTAGTTGGAAAAGCCAAACAGTGAGTCATTGTTTCTGTTTGGTCTCCATGAGACGCATTCCATATGCTGATAAAGTTATTTGTACATTTTATTAGTCATAGACTGCATAGCTTGCTGCAGTTTTACCATTACATCAGGAAATTGTATCTGTAACTGTGCCTAATGCACTAATTTTATTACAAGAAAAAAATAGTTAAAAAAATAAAAAAATAAATTAAATTATGAGTTTGAGATCAACTTTCTCTTTACAGCTTTTAAAGTTGAATTTTTATTTCTCTGGAAGTGCCTGATCCCCTCTCCCTAGTCAAGCATTTGTCTGTGTTGTGAAATAGATTAAAAAACAAAACAAAAAACATTTTGCCTCCATAGCACTCTGCATTTTCATTGGTCACCCATTGTTCACTTGGTCTTTCATTGGTGCAGCTTCGGCAATTGGACATATCGTTTACTTAGCTACGTTTGTACAAAAATCTAAGTTACCATTTTCCATTTAACTGTAGACCATTCTGAAAACTTGCAGATATCCCTGGTAGGCAGGAACATAACAATTTGGGAGTGCAGGCTGTGTATTTTTTTTTTTCATCTCTTAAACTGAGAAAAGTGCATTATATACATGTAGATCAGCTAGAAGTCTTTTAGTATGTCAGTGTTGACAAGCTCCAAGTTTTAGGCATGATATTGCTTGCAGATGAACTGTCTGAAGCTTGTCCTCCTGCACATTTATATAATTTTCTCTGGGTAGACATCCGAGTTATGCCGTATTAAAGGGCCATTCCAGGCACCAGTAAAATTTTTAGATAATGGTCTCATTAACCCCTTAAGGGAGGAGGCAATCGTACATGTTCTGATCAAGACAAAAAAATGTAAACAAACCCTGGAATTTGACTGTCTGTTCAACCATAACTTTTTCATATTAAGTGTACCCTCACTTATTGCATATCTTTTTGTTCAGGAGAAAGAGGGCTTTTATTTCACATAAAGTATTTATGTGATACTTTTAATTTGAATAAAAGTTTGAGAAATTAAGACATTTTGTTCTGTATGACACTTTAACTGAATGTCTGTCTAAACTGAATAATGCAGCTTTTACTACAGTAAAATACACGTGTTCAGTGATGTCTCACGAGTACAACACTAAATGAACATGTTTATGGTGTTTTGGAAAGTTACAGGATCACATACTGATGATATATCATCATTATTCATTTGATGGTTTTTAACAATCATATTTGTATTCAGCTAAGTCTTAAGAGTACAACAGTGTTTTGGAAAGTTACCGTGTTGAAGGGACACAATATAGTCATCGGAACAACTATAGCTTATTGTTGTTCTGGTCTGTTTAGCCTGTCCCTGCAGGCGTTTTAATGTAAACACTGACTTTTTACAGAGAAGGCAGTGTTTATATTACAGCCTAGGAACAAGTCTAGTGGCCACTTCTCAGACTGCCACCAGAGGTACTTCCTGGGTCAGTGCTGCATATTCCCCATAGAGATGCATTGATTCAATGCATCTCTGTGAGGAAATGCTGATTTGGCTCACCCCCCTCTCCTTGGCTGAGATCACCAAAATTGACAGGACCAGATGTGCCCTGCACAGCACTGGGAAAAGGGTAGTAAATCACCTTTCTAACCAGAGGAAAGGGGTGGGGGAATACATGTTTTGTAGGGCTTGCAAATTACATTTTCTTGACTTTCTGCCTGGGTTGATAGGCGGGTCCCTTAAAAATCGCTGACTTGGGGGAGAAAAATAATATATACATACACGTAGGATTAAAATTGAAATTTTTATTCTCCCTCTCCCTGCAGTTGTACAGACTGCTATTCCGCCAAGTGATCGCCATGACAGGAGGGTCGGTCTGGATCCAGGGGGACTGCCTGGGTTGTCAGGCAATTCTCTCCGATCCTTAACTGTGTGGTTCACTGTGCGAGATGAGTTTATGGTGGCAGAAGGGCTCACGATCGTTGGGGCGTCCACTTTGTGCAGGACGGCATAGTACGACTTAGCACCGTTAAGAGGTTAATATTTATTTTAATGCACAAATCTTTCATTTTTACACAAATACAATAATTTAAATGTTTTGCAGAATGCTGCACCATAAGCTGACATTCTTTGCCATGTCCCTTCATGCCAGAAAAACTTCCTTATAAAATGTATTTACAGTCTCAACACTGTGTGAGCGGCTTTAAATTCACAACCTGCCTTCAACAGTCAGAGAAACTACAAACAGGCAGTGACATCCTTGCAATATATTTCCCTGGGTATGCAGGTTGTTCTGTAGTTCAGATCACTTAGTCCTGTCAGTGGCTGAACTGTGTACATACATTTACTCCACATATGTCGAAGGAACTGGTGTGTGTATATCAATACACATTGATTTTTCACCAAACATATAAACAATGTGTAGAAATTAATTATAAGCTTTTTCTGCAATTTTTGGTTTAGTAAGGACCACCTAGGGCTAGACTCAAAGTAGAAAAAAAAGCCTTTGATCTTGTAGAGAGGTATGAATACATATTTAATATGTGAAGGCTATGTGCATTGGCCAAACAAATGTAAAAAAAAAAAAAAAAGCGCCCTATTTCTCTGAAATATAAATGAATAATTTTTAGAACATTTAAACTAAGAGGTTAAAGAGTAACATTCACATCTGTTGGTTGCATGTGAGTAATAAAACCGGTCTTTCGTGTACACTGTCTAGAAATATGACCAAATACATTGTGAGTGGGCACTGTGCAGAAAAAGAATATCTCCTTATGAGGCCTCTAGTTGTGTTCATAAGAGTGCGTGTGTGTAAGGCAGGTTCATGTAAAGCAGTTTACAAAATGTATTTTTTTTTCTTTTTCTTTAAAAAATAAAACCTTCAAAATTGCTTCCACAATTTAAAATTTAAATCTTAAGTATTCTAACAATTAGAATAACAATAATCTGTCTTTATGTCCAAAAACGAAAATAGAGGTAGCTTTGAGCACAGCACAATCTCCTTTCCAATAGATATGAAGGTTTACATACCCTCAATACACAATTGAATGCCTTGTATTCATTTTAACACACGCTAAATGTGGAGGTGTGTAGTGCAGTTCTCAGAGATGCTGGGAGTGGCAAACCATGATAAACGGTGGTTGGAGAGTTTTTACATTTACCAGCGCGAAAATTATGATTTTATTTTTTCCCTCAGACGATATCTTTGTACTATGACAACATTTGCTTGTGTATAGACAACCTAACTTTATAGTCCATATTTGTTAATCTCCAGACAATTCACAGGTTTATTATGTTGACTGAACTGTGAAGCATAGCCTTAGGAAAGTGATAATTCTTTTTATAAAAAAAAAAAAAAATTCTTTATTTTTTACAAGTTTTTCTTTCTCATACATAGACATTATTCATATATTTGTTTTTGAATTAAATTATGCTTATTTTAACACATGAATAATTTAAAATTTTACAGTATATAATACAGTATGTAAACATATATATATATATTTCTCTTCCATCCATCCATCCATACGTGTCCGGGAGAGGGGAGGGATGAAATCATTCTTTATTAAGTGGATGTAATTCTAAAGCTATTGAAATGGTTAGGATTCTGTGGGTGCAGTTTTTCATTCTTATTTATTTCTGCTTGTCAAACTGTTCTTAAACGGTTTGACAAAAAGTGCATCAACCCAAGCCCCGCGGATGTAATAATAGTCACTGTCAAGGCTGTAAGTCAGAATACTGCTTTCACGTACATTGATTTTGGAAAGAAATGAGGATGTACAAAGGTTTTTGAAATCTTTTTAAAAATGAGAGCCTAGCTTAGGGACAGGCAACCTTCGGCACTCCACATGTAGCCTACGTCTCTGATAATGTGTAGTACACAACATCAGGAGTGCTGAATATTGCATGTACTAGCATATAGCCTCTGTTTTACCATTTTTAAACAAAATGCAAGTAGGGTTATTCAATAAACTCACTAAATGTCAATACCTAAACTCTGTCAACATTGAAGTTGCTGTTAAGTGGATAGGTGAGTGTGTTGGATCGTGTGTATAAAACCCGAAAAGGGACTTTTTTCAGTTTTAGGACCCTTCTTTCCCCGCAATAGCTTATTACGCAGGTAGTCCACTTGCAATTTCTCCTTTAAGTAAATCAATTACATGTAATGTGGCTCGTTACACTCTGACAAAGCGCTTTCCTTTTTCTCTAAAGAACATTCCCTTTGCTTTGGGAAACAATCTCCTGCCTCATTGTTAGTGACTGTGTTATCCGAGGAATGTTTTACCACATATGGCTTAGAAAACAAATCTAAAAATTGCACATATTTATCCTCTGATGCAAAATAATTTGAAATGACATATTAAAATTGGAATTTGCATTAAATCTTGCTCATGAGGTTTTGTAGAAAATTCATTTTCCCCTTGAGGGAAAAAAAAAGCTTTAATTGAGCCAAAACGTTTCCATGTTTACACAATGTGATATTTAATTGTAAATGTAGATTAGGATTCTTTTTTCAAAATGTAGCACTTTTCAATAAAAGGCATATGGTGTAGAGTTCAATAAAAAGTCTTGTCATCCTTTTAAATCAACTAGGGCTGATATATTTGTATTTTTATTTTATTATTTTTTTACAGATTTGTGTCTTGCTTTTAAAGACATACAGGGTTATTTTACTAAAGTGAGATTTCAAAGTAAATTTTAAACTTAAAGTGGCTGTCTCCTAAAATTTGCCTTTCTTCTTCTGTTTCCTCTTCTCTTCCAGAATATGTTCTTTTCTTTCTATCTGACCTAGTTTTCCTTAAAGCACAAGACAAAGTCAGGACTACTTTGGCATGTGTATGAAATATACATTAGACAATCTTTGAAAGGGCAGCGTTTAAAGGAACACTATGGTGTAAGGAATACAAATGTTTTCCAGACACTAGTCCTGAAGTGGCTTTGTAGGATATCAATATAAAGGTGATTTTTACTCATCTTTTCTCCCATGCCGCACAGGTCTCACCCTGCCTGGCTTAGATAATCAATTTTGATGACGTCAGCTAATCCTAATGCTTCTCATAGGAAATTATTGGGGGGGGGGCTATTGTGCATGCGCGGCAAAACATCACGCTGCACCAATCAGCATCTCATAGAGATGAATCCATGCATATTTATGGGATCACACGCAAAGCATGGAAACTCTGAACGTAAGTGCTGCAAACTGTGCAGCACTGACATAGAAAGCACCTCCAGTGGCCATCTGAGTTACTGCCACTAGAGATGTTACCAGGCAGCAATGTAAACACTGCCTTTTCTCTGAAAAGGTCATGTTTACAGTGCTCCGCTTGCAGGGACAGGCCATAGACACCAGAATCACTACATTAAACTGTAGTGGTTCGGGTGACTATAGTGTCCCTTTAATGCAAGCTTCACCCTTTTGTCACAATTGTCAAGCAGAGGAAAAATACATGACTAACTAGTCCCTGCTTTGTCTTATGTTTTAAAGAGAAATGGATGAGAAATGAAGAATTAGAACATATTTGTAAGAGAAGAGGAAACTATAGGAGAAAATTAAGTTTGAGGTGACGAAGCCACATTAAGGCCAGAGTAGCCAAAATGAAAGCATCGCTGATGATCTTTTCTCAGTTCGGTTAGTTTGCCCCTAAATTTGAAACTCACTTTGAGTTCTCACTTAGGTAAGGAACCCTGACAGTGCAAATACCGATTTTTCGTAATGCTTATTGACCTTTTCCCACTTTCTAATTTTTTTTTTTTATTATATACTCTTGATTGGTATGAATCCCTGGTGGTACAGCTGCAATATTTTTTCCCTAAACTTGTAACTTGATTGGCTGAGATCAGCCTTCTGTCAAATTAAACTTGAGAAAATATAAAAAAAGCAGACGTTCGGCATTGAAAGATTAGCTTTCATAATGAAGGGTTTTAAAGGGTAGCTGTCACCATTTACCTGACCCGCCTCTATCTTATTACACTTCTCGAACACCTGCTTCTGCTCTGCCCATACTCCTCCTCAGTCTGTTCATTGATTTAACTTGCTTGGGGACGCTTCCAGAAGCAGGGCATACCTCCTCCTTGACAACGACACAACGGCTTCGTTCCCAGTATGCCTGAGTCTGAATGGACATCAGTTCCTATACACCCTAGCCAATGTTGGCAGTGCTGGCAAGTGTGTTACTATAGCAACCAAAGAGAATGCAGTGCAGTTGCTGCAGGTCAAAAACAGGGCTATCTGTGGTCCAGGTCTCGTATACTCTCCATTATCGATCAATTCCTCAACATAAAGTCTATGCTAAAGAATTGGTCTACAGGTGGGAGAAAAACCTATTTTTAAATAAGTGTTTTGTTTTTTTTTCTCTTCACCTAATCTATACAGAATAGATGAAGATGTCCGGTTCCTTACCCTGTGTTAATGAATGGAATGTAATTAGCACTCTATACCAGGGATGGTTAGGATGCAGGCCTACAGCTGTTGCAGAACTACCACTCTCTTGATACAGTAGTTCTGCAGCAGGTGTGCAGATCTACCTTGTAACTTTCCCTGTTTAAAACAGTGCACAGTTATACACTGATATACAGTTCAGCATGCTTGGAATTCCGTAGTCTACATGTTGCAACACAGTATCTTCCTATACATACCAAGCATAGTTGTGACATAAAAGCTGCATATTTAGTTAGACTTTTTTGGGGGGTAGGTGTTGTTTATTTTGGATTTTGGAGATGTAGATTTTTTTTCACCAACCCCACTTCTTAACGTAGTGGTTTTTGGTGGTTATATGCTGTCCATTTAACAATCTCAAACAATGCAAAACATTTCCGTGAGATTTGGCTTAAAACATGTCTGACAGCCATTAGGCACTTCCTCCTTAAGACCTATGATTTTCGAACATCTTCACGTTCTGCATCAATTTGCACAACATATGGCTTGTACGGATCCAAGCTTTGGATTGCATCCTTAGTGCTTCTCTAAGAGAACCATCATCATGTTTGATCTCATGACAGCAGAGAGCAAACTGTCTTGGTTCTGGTTTTCAGGTAAGTTTAGTTGCTCCCACCCCTCCCCCTTTTTATTTCTATATAAATAAAATAAAAAAAGGAACAATCTAACTTTAAAAATATTTTTTCCGTTGGTGTCCCTTTAAGTAAATACAAACAGAAAATGTGCAAATAAAGTCTGATTTTGTGATAATATTGGTTTAGAAAGATTAACAGACATTTCCCTGTATTGTATACCTTGTATTGTTTAGCTTGTGCTAGGCAATGACCAATCCCTTTTTCTATATAGAAACATAGAATGTGACGGCAGATAAGAACCATTCGGCCCATCTAGTCTGCCCAATTTTCTAAATACTTTCATTAGTCCCTAGCCTTATCTTATAGTTAGGATAGCCTTATGCCTATCCCACGCACTCTTAAACTCCTTTACTGTGTTAACCTCTACCACTTCAGCTGGAAGGCTATTCCATGCATCCACTACCCTCTCAGTAAAGTAATACTTCCTGATACTATTTTTAAACCTTTGTCCCTCTAATTTAAGACTATGTCCTCTTGTTGTGGTAGTTTTTCTTCTTTTAAATATAGTCTCCTCCTTTACTGTGTTGATTCCCTTTATATATTTAAATGTTTCTATCATATCCCCCCTGTCTCGTCTTTCCTCCAAGCTATACATGTTAAGATCCTTTAACCTTTCCTGGTAAGTTTTATCCCGCAATCCATGAACCAGTTTAGTAGCCCTTCAATGAACCCTCTGTAAGGTATCGATATCCTTCTGAAGATACGGTCTCCAGTACTGTGTACAATACTCCAAGTGAGGTCTTACCAGTGTTCTATACAATGGCATGAGCACTTCCCTCTTTCTACTGCTAATACCTCTCCCTTTCTGCTAGCATTTCCTGCTGCTCTATTACATTGTCTGCCTACCTTTAAGTCATCAGAAATAATCACCCCTAAATCCCTTTCCTCATATGTTGAGGTTAAGACTCTATCAAATAATCTATACTCTGCCCTTGGGTTTTTACGTCCAAGATGCATTATCTTGCACTTATCCACATTAAATATACATATAACACACTGATGTAGATGTAAAAAAACAGATGCCATTTGTATCTTGTAATACCTTTTTTTTTTTAATTGGACTAACAAAATTTTTTTTAATGACAAGCTTTTGGAGAACCTCCCTTTCTCAAGTCTAAAGCATTTCTGAGCAAAGACGACACATAGAATTCAAAGTTGAGTTGTGATACAGGGGTTAACACACTGATGGTAAGAGCTGCACTTGAAGAACACTTTAGTTCATTCTCTGTTACGATGTTAGCTGGAAGAAGGTATAGCTTGTATCGTTGGTTTAAACTGACACAAATGTAAGAGTGTTATTAGATTAACAGCTTTTTTAAATGCTCCAAATTAATCAGAAAATACAATTGCATATATAGATGACCTATTTAGCGAAACTGAAAGCAAGAAATTAGGCCAGCTGTCTGTAAGCTTGTAGTCCAACAACAAAGCATTGGGCTCATTATTTACCCTGAGCATTCTAAATTACAACTACTTACAACGCTGTCTCCCTACCGCTACCCTTGCTTCGTGCCTCCCTTCTTCCCGGTAAATAAATGGGTTTTAAACCCTTTTATTTACTTACCTTTTCCCAGCGCCGATGTCCCTCAGCGATGGGTCGATGCTCCGCCTTGTGAGGAGTGTGGTCTAATGTGCCAAATGCTGCCCGCTTTAGAACTTTGCATTGGAAAGCATTGAATCAGTGCTTTCCTATGGGGGAAAAATTGACGCTGGAGGTCCTTATGCAGAGCGTGAGGACATCCAGCGTCCAATACCGGACCAAAGGTCTGTTTCAATTCAAGAAGCTCTCTAGAGGCTGTCTGGTAGACAGCCACTGAGGGCAGATTTAGAGCTGCAATGTAAGCCTTGCAGTTTCTATAGAACTGCAATATTTTACATTGCAGCGCTTAGTGCAAAAGGGACAGTACTCCCAGATCACTTCAATTAGCTGAAGTGGTCTGAGTGCCTACATTGTCCCTTTTAATTTAAGGTTTACATGGGGTATAGCAAGCTTGAGCCGTTACCAAATTATGTAGGTAGTATCTTACAAAAATATGCAATAAAGACTAGAAAAGTACTTCACTTTGAAATGTGTCTGGAAGTGCCTTGGATTTGCAACTTTTTGCCCTTTGCCCAGACCGGGAAGTAGCTGACACTGATCAGCCAATCTTGGAAGTTCCATTATTTCTGATTGGCGTCCTGGGCATATCTCAAACTGTGTCTTAGTGTCATGGTGTCTATTTGCATACCAACTGTTCAATTTATAATTTTATAAATGGATCTACTTGGGTGTCTTTGGTACTGACTCAGAAAGCAGTGGGTTTATAAACGCATTCATTTTTGGCTTTTTCTTGTCCTCTGAACTGTACAATGTAAGTTAATTATGTTTAGAGTGCTCCATTAACAAATTACACGGCGCTGTGCATCTTTGAAAGCCTTTTTGCAGCCAGTAATATTTTTGAGTACTTTGGGCAGATGCCTGTGAACATACTTATTCACATGGAGAACAATATGTTGGCTTAAAATTATATTTCATGGGTTGCTAAACAAATATGGCTGAAAGTTCCTGATTTAAAAATAATTAAAACCAAACAACAGAACAGAAAAATGCAACATGTGATAATGGGCTGTCACCTCCTGAAAAAAGTCTAATGGCGCAAACCGTGCAGAAGATGAATAGGCGTTTGGACTATGTCAGTATGCAGATATTTTTCTGGATTTTTTTTTTGTGGAACATTTAAGATATTGACACATTTTGCTTTTACAAGGGCAAACCTTAAGGCAGGAAGTAAAGCGTTTTGCAACCACAACATTTAGTGCGGGGTGGGTGGGAAGTGCCCTCATTCAGTTGAGATTTTCCTTAATAAAAATAAAGTTAATTTCTGCAGCGTGGATACAAAGCCTCACGCAAAGCATGTGTACCTACTCCTACACTTAAACGTTTTCTGAGCAAAAGAATGTGCTTTATTTTTTTACGCTTTGTAATTACAAGCTCTAAAAAAAAAAAAAAAAAAACAGTCAAAATGCATTTTATTCACTTTTTTAGTTCTAAACCCTCTTGAAATTGTCTCCGTGATGGACTGCATTTGTTACAATAAACACTGTTTCTGTTCACTGTAATATAGTTTATTAATAGTGATGTCCCGAACGGTTCGCAAAAACGGTTGCCACGGACGGCGAACATATGACCCTGTACCTCCCACCTCCTGGACAGCTCACTAAGAATGCAGCTTCAAAATGGATGCTGTTCAGGAGGTGGTAGGGAGGGTCTGCTGCTGATTGGCTGCAATGTGTCTGCTGACTGTAAGGTACAGGGTCATATGTTCGCTGTCCGTGGCGAACCGTTCGGCACATCACTATATTAACCCTCGTAGCTCTCCTAGCAATAGAAGGTGAGCTATAGTTTTCAGGACAGAATGCAGGGATGAACTGAGCTGTCAGTATCACAGAATGGTATGAAATAGAATAAAAAGACCGTATATCCAAAAATGTAAAGAGAAACCCAAACTAATAATCAGAATAACTTCACCAAAGGGCATGTTGAAAAATAAAATGCAGAATTTGCATCACTGAAAATCAGGTTGATTAACAAGCTGTCACCCTTCAAGCTTCAGTTCTGAACCAGAGTGTTTGTAGACTGTAATTCCTGGGTATATATTCTGAAGATATCTCCAGCTACATTCTTTTTTAAAATTTATTTAAATTACTTCATCCTACGATATATATGAAGAAATTCGGCATTGTTCAGGCACATCACCCAAGAACACAAATGTTATGTAAATAATGAGTGTCCCAGGGAAGCATGTGACCTTAAAGTGACACTATAGTCACCCAGACCACTTCAGCTCAATGAAGTGGTCTGGGTGCCAGGTCCCTCAGGTTTTAACCCTTCACATGTAAGAGAAACTGCTATGTTTACATAGCAGGGTTAATCCAACCTCTAGTGGCTGTCTTCCTGACAGCCGCTAGAGGCGCCTCTGCGATGCTGGATGTGAAATTCGCATTCAATGTGCAGAACGTCCATAGGAAAGCATTGAGAAATGCTTTCCTATAGACAATTTGAATGCGCGCGCGGCACTTACTGCGCATTCCGCTCCACTCGGGAGCTGACGGTGGGCTGTGGAGAGGTCACCAGCGCCAAGGGAGCCCGGTGCTGGATTAAGGGAAGTAGCTGAAGGGGTCTTAACCCCTTCAGCGCCACGGGAGGGGGACCCTGAGGGTGAGGGTCCCCCAAGGATGACATAGTGTCAGGAAAAAGGGTTTGTTTTCCTGACACTATAGTGATCCTTTAAACATTTGTTGTGACTTTATAGCAAATGATTGGCTTTAAGTTGATTTTTTTTTTTTGTGGTTTTAGTTATCACTAAACATTATAATGAAATGTGATTTAGTGACAACTCTGATACTGAAATCCAGAACAGCCCATGCGCTATGCTGGCAGGTGGAACTATTGCTAGATCTTTACCATACCTTCCAATATTTCATATAGGCAGAGACCGGCACTTTAATTTTAGGTGTGTTTGTGGGGTGTGGTCAGGGGTGTCCTGCTCTAAGAAATTGGTGACTTACTAATAACCGTTTATGCAACTACAATGTAATTTAGAACAAGAACAATGTATCTTGTTTACACAGACTGATTTCTAAATACATTTAATGTAGTTTAAAGACACATTACTGGGAGTATTATTGCTGTGGGACTTTGTTATACACTCAGACACACCAACAAAATAGAGCTCCTCTATAAAGAGGGACAGATGTGGGCACATAATAGGGACACTTGGGTGGTGTACTCTACCTAGGTCACAGCAGTCCAACCTTGACTTAATTTCAGAGAAATTTTAAACACCTGGTCGTTCCACAGTCTACTGTATATGGTCATCAACTGACCACTCTTCTGCATTTTTAGCAAACGATTGACTACCTTCACCAAGGAGGAGCCCCTCCTATATAAAAGCTCTGTTGTTCTGCAATTTTACTATGGAGGTAGCCAAAGGCTAGATCCCTGGACGACTGGCTGTATAACTACGACTGCCGTGTCCTGAGAATGGGAGAGAATCACGTTGTAATTCTTAATCTGCTTCGGATCTACAATGTGGTCTCCCAAAGCCTCATTGACTAAACCAATATATTGTGTTCTCTCAGAGGCTCCATCGATGGCACCTATAGAATGATGGCTTACAAAAACTGACTCACCTGGGAACCTTCAGGCTGCATGTTTCACACGCGAAAGGTTTAATACATTTACCAGAATCTTGTAAAACAGTAAGGGCTTGTCACATCACTGCAAGGTATTTTGCAATCTGTATGAGGAGTCAGTTTTCTGAAAGAATACAGATATTACCATACATTGGATTCATCTGTATCCGGTGAATAAATTAGTTGACGACAACAAATTGAAAAAAGGGTTTTATTCACTAAACCAATTCCTCGAGGCTCCCTTTTCTTTTGTAGGTTTTGCACTCCATTCGTTTTACAGCTTCCATATTTTGACTTTAGATTTGCAGCTACTTTTGTCAGCTCTTAACCAAAACTGCGCATTGTGTTCTGGTCTTCCCATTTAAAGGGGAATTTCTACATTTCTATTCCTGGTTTATTTGGTCTGTTTATCCCATTAAACAATACTATTAATGTATTTTGTCAGCAAGGTGGCATAATACAATCAGCTTTTACTTAATGGCTGTACTGGCTAGTAATTCCTCTGTTTTGATTATAAAATGTGCTTCATTTTGCCATGATATCGTTTTCTTCCTGTGGACGTTTGAAATTCAGTCCCGCATTTTGCTTTCAGTAGTGAATCAGCTTGAGAATTCCACTTACAGAATCTGCGGCTGCATGTTTTCTATTCGATTAATTCTAGTTGGGCTTGCAAGCATACAAGATCAAAATCAATTGGTATGAAAACTGGAAAACTCACACACTAACCGTACACTTTTTTTCAGTTTCCTGGAAGAGATGAACCATGGGAAACAAAAGTAATTTAAAAATGGTAACTTTCTATGTATGAGTCTCGGCTATACAATAGCTTATTCCAGGTGTCCGAGGTATAAATTACCTTAGTTATTGCAAACTACATAACATGGTGTTTGCCTGTTGCAGTCACATTTCAATGTAAAAATTCATAAATCTTTTTGGCTCTCAGTTGCACTCGAGCCTTTGTATAACAGTAATTTGAGCTGGAAATGTGTTAAGACAACTTTTTCACAAAAATAGTATAGAATCAGTTCAATACAAAAAACATTAAAGGAACACTATATGGTCAGGAACACAAACATGTATTCTTGACCCTATAGTGATTAACCCACCATTTAGGTGACCTCCCCCCTCTTAGCCCCCTTAGAATATATTAAAACTCACCTTATTTGCCTCGATCCGCCTCCTTGGTGACATCACCAAGGATTGGCTGAAATCAAGCAGGAGATGGGATGGGGGCGGGGCCAAACACCATTTTGGCCAATCATCACCTCCTCATAGAGATGCATTGAATCAATGCATCTCTATAAGGAAAATTCAGCGTCCCCATGCAGAGCGTGGAGACGCTGAATGGCACTGCTGCCTACTGTGCAGCACTGCCCCAGGAAGCACCTCCAGTGGCCATCTGAGGAGTGGCAACTTGGAGGTGTAAACATAAAAATGCCTGAAGGCAATGATTTATACTCACCAGAACAACTACATTAAGCTGTAGTTGTTCTGGCGAGTATTGTGTCCCGTTAATAACCGTTAATATCAGAAATAGACCATGGGGGGTTAGAGAGATACAATAGAGAAAGCATGACATTTCACTCCAAATCTGTGCTTTTTTTTAAGCTGCCTCCACATTTTTAAGTTGACTGTGGCTAAGATTGGAAATGCCTTTTAAGCATGTGTAATTTCCATGAAATGCCCTGCCTGTGCCTTTTTAGAAGGCTGAGAAAGGGATAGTGTGGTGGTGTGAGTGGTTGAGTATGGATCCACACTAACGGATGGTCACTTTTTAGGTATGTGTTTGAAAATGCCCATATCTCAAACATGACCGATTTGTTCTATTGAATCCACATTGTTAAAGCGGACGTTATATTTTGGAGTCTACATCCTTGCACGACACAGTAAAGATGGCCATTGTATTGTGTGCTGTTACATGATTTGGTTTCCTTGGAATAATTGTTGTGCAGATTAAGGACTGTGTGTGCGTTGGAAACTATTCTGTACTCAAACAAGACTTAGTGTTTGTATTTAATTTATATCTTTAACAGGAAGCTGACACAACCTAATTCTTGAAGACTTAGAAGGTTGATAAACTTACAAAACTTACTTCTGTACTTGAAATGATGTAACTATATATAATATAGGGGTACATATATTCATACACAGTATATCGGCAATCACAGACTTTGCAAGCAAATTCATCATATTAGTGTAGAAAATGGTGTCAACGTTTCAGTTCCAGAACGGAACTGTCTTTGTCCTGGAGAAAGTTCCAATCTGAAACTGAAACATTGACACCTTTTACTCTGCTAATATGATGAAATAAGGAGGAAATTAACTTGCAATGTTTGTCAGTGCTCAGATATTGTGGTTAAATCATGTGTGTGTGTGTGTATGTAACACTTTGAAATGTTCAAATGTATCTTGTTACAGTAAAAAAAACTTTTTTTTTTATGTTTCCTAACCACACCTTGTACACCAGACTTGTTAATATGCCTGCGGGTGTCCTGGTTAATAGAACACGGTTTCGAAGCATGTATGCGATACAGCTCAATTAATATCTCTATGTCAGGAATTCAAAGAGAATTTAAAGGAGAATGAAAATTAAAGCATGATTGTGACGCTTCCAAAAATCAATACAAGATGAAGTGAAGAGCAATATAAAATAACATCTTCCTATCAGATTGTGGTGCATTAGGAAGATTTATCCACAAAACTTGTGTTGTGGTGAATTAAAGCAATATTGCAAAAAAATTGCCAAAACATGGAATTTGTCAGTTAAGCACAATGTATTATTTAGCAAAATACCTATTTACATGTAACCCGCCTCCCCCATTCTCTACTTCCTAAGTTTACTCATAACGTTTCGGTTAAAGGGCAATAATGGGGTTGTTCATCGTTTGTTATTAACCCTGTTACTTTCTGTTTCATATTGAAGTTTATGACTATATTCCTAGAATTTAGCATTCTTATCTCCCCAGCCTTGTTCAGCAACTCGGTTTAGTTTGTTTGCAATGTGCCACAAGACTAGTAAATATTGATAACAAGGAGGAATGCATTCCTTGTTGAAACAAACAGATCATTTTCAGTAATAATTTACAGGTAATAACAATAATAATTAAAAAACAAACCAAAAAAACTTTCAATTGCTTCTGCAAGCATCACGTACTTAAAGGTATAGTACAAATCTGCATGTCCCTGTCCCTAGTTAAATTCAGGCCCCATCCTACCCCCTGTGTAACAAAAACAAAAACTAAAGATTTTTACTCATCTTTCACAATCACAGTGGCTCCCTTTGTGCTTCTTAGCTCTCTGCCTCCCGTAACATCATGGAGGAGGAATGGCCTCTTCTGCCAATGGTCTGATCCAATGCTCCTTGAGAAGTGGATTCTACCCAGCAATGTAAACATTCTGAAAACATCCAATGGCTTACATTGCTGGGTTAAATGGACAGGACACCACGGCAACCAGATCACTACATTGAGATACATAGTGAGGCGACTCTTCTACTGGCATACACATTGATACATCAATGTCCCTGTAATGCTCTTAAGGAGTAGATAAATCTATTTCTTTTTAACTTCTATTAGTTAATCAGATAAAAATGTGCAATTTGAGTTCTTTATATATAACACAAAATTATTTCAGTGAAGGCAACAAAGTAAGTTTGCAGAGGGCCTGAAAACCATGGCTTTGCAACAAAACAATTTTTTTTTAAACATTCTTTTGGCACCTAAAAAGTTAAATTTTGGATTTGCAGTTTCAGTGCCTTTCTACATTCTTTATATACAGTGGTACGTCGGCTTACAAATGCTTCGGTTTACAAATGAAAGTCCATTGAAAATAATGCCTCAGTTTACAAAAATTTTTCGCAATACAAAGTAAGTTTCCCCTGGATGTACTGCACCTGGGAGGTTTATAGCACCGCCCCCTGTGGGTAGCACGTGGCATCGAGTGTGGAGGTGTTGGAGCGGCTTTTGCATCGAGTTCTGGAGTCATTCTGGAAATTGTTTGCAGTTGTTTTGGGACTTTTTGGTGCATTTCTCAAGCTGTGGAATGGTAGGGAGCTGAGCATCATCGTTTGCATGCCTTTTACTGTGTGTTCGGCATTGTGGGTTGGTTTCCATGCCAGTTCATTTTGACTTTTTTTCTGACCTCCAGAACGGATTAATTGGTTTTCAATGCATTCCTATGGGAAAACACATTTCGGTTTACAAATGTTTCACAATAAGAAACGTCCCGGAGAACGCATTAAATTTGTAAACCGAGGTCCCACTGTATTTAGGAGATCTAGGTGATATTTTGTAGGTTCCTTCCACTAAGCTGGTTTGCCAGTTGCAGTGGGAAATGTTCCCTCAAGTCTCACTTCCTTGTTTTAGTATAACTTACTGCAGAAGATGCAAAGCCAACTAGCTTAATACCCACATATAGTTAAAGGGATATCCAGGATCCCTGCTCAAGCTACACGCACTGAACTTTCTATTGTCACCCAGTTACTAGAGCAGTGATCGAGTTAACACAGGCGAGTAGCACATTCTCAGAGTTATTCACTAAAGTGAGGATTGTCTAGAATTCAAAGTAAATTTCAAATTTAAGGCCAGAGTAGCCAAATTGTAAAAATTCTCCAAATCAGCTATTTTGGTCTTAAATGTGAAATTCTTGGAATTCCAGACAATTGCTACTGACTTCAATAACCCTGTTTATCTTCTTCAGGTTCACAGCCACAGGCTATTATGGAGACAGACAGCGGTTTCTATGGTTATCATGAGTCACAGACTCACAGCATTATAATCCATGTGGATCCTGAAATCTATAGTATAAATTACCTTTAGTGTAATTAATAAAATCTGTTCACAGATGTTTGAAACGAACGATAAAAAAAGATTTTCAATAGGCTTCACTGTCTTTACTGATAAAAAAAAACCTAAATAGATTTCCCTGAAATTGTTAATTTGCAGACCGCTTTTTACTCCTCTTCCTGGTTTAAAAAAAAAAAAAAAAAATAGCTGCATTGCACTCATTTTATTTTATTTTGTCTTGTCTTTGCCTTCTGATTGGTTATCAGTAAATTCCAATCAGAGAGAAAAGACAAAATTAAATTAAAAAAAAGTGCAATGCAACTATTCGGAACCCTAGTCTAGTTCTCGGCCTCTTATTACTTACTTGTCCTAAAATACAAATCTACGTTGGCCCATGTGTATCCTAAACACATTTTGTATCAATGTTTTATGATGTTCAATATATGTTTTAGAATTTTACCTGCACATTTTAATGTTTTTTTTATTTTTTTACAATTCTTTATTTTTGTTGTGCATTAAGACAGTAACATCTTGGCAATGACATTGAGCGCAAAGCAGTATAAGTAAAAGAAATACATGCTTATAGTGAAAGCTTAAAATGTCCTGATCGGCTGCACTTTTAAAAGAGAAAATAATGCTGGTTAAACATGTCTAGGTACATGTAAAATACAAAATGTGCTATCGTACGAGAAATTCCAGACATGGAGAATCTATAGTATGCATAGGTTTATACAAGCATGCTAGGTTAATGGATAGTTAGTAAGCTTGCATAGAATACCACTGGTAGGATGAGTAGCTAGAGGAAAATACAACCGGGAACTATATAAACAATCTACAGCTACTAGTTGATTTAAGCAGATTAGTAATAAAGTAAAATAAACAATAATCAAGTTAATCATATCTGCAGTAAGAGAGGCTGTTTAAAAGACAGGCTGTAGGTAACTTCAGCCTATGCCGTTGGAGGGGGAGTCACTGCCACTAGAATGCTGTAGTCCAGCTATATCGATAGATTGACCCCACCGGTCCCACATTGCAAGGCTCTTGTGAAGGCAGGAGTAGAGAGTATAGGAGAGATCTAGGACGCTGCATGCTTGGGACTCCTCAGAGTAAGCTCTGTGCTGCGGTAGTGTGCTGTCGTCATGTCGAGATGAGAGGGGGGAGCATTCTACAGCAGTCCCGTGTTCGGCGTCTGTTAGCTGATTTCCGTGGCTGCAAGGCAGGGATGCCGAGTGTGCTGGAGTGGGCTTTGGTAGTAAGTGGTCTCAGTGCAAGTGATGTGGTCCAGCAGAACCTCTCTGGCCATGTTTGACAGGTGGGCGGCTGTGTGAAGGCTTTCGGCCTTGAGCTTGAGTCACTGGAGGGGGTAGAGTGCTGGGAGGAAGCTCATAAGGTGGGCCACGGTGTGGCTTTGGCAAGGGAGGTTGTTGGAGGCGGTGTTGTAGCTTTGCCCAGAAGTCCTCAAAGATCCTGTCCAGCGTGGACAGATGTGGGTCCTGGGTGTTGGGCTGCAATGCACACATGGCGTCCGCCGTCTTGTATTGTCTCTGTGTGCCTTCTGCCCGATTAGGCCGCAGTGCTGTAAAGCCCCGTTTCGGCAGGGATGTCTCCTAGACCGGGATGACCCCCACCGGTCCAGAGGGGGGGATGATTCCAGCAGCTTACTGAGTAGTCCTGGCGGGAGATCGGCCGTCTCTCCACTTGTCAAGGTCCACCAGGTTGCAGTACGCTTGATCTACTCTCCGGGATCGTGTCCACAAAGGTGAGTTACAGTCGCTCTAATATAGCTCAGGTGCAGCTACAGACAGTTAAAGGTCTTGGTGAGTTGCATATCAGTCGAGTTTTTAGACATAAAACTGCTATTAATTGTATAAAAGTTCAGAGATCATGTAGGATACGTCTACCCGGCATGGCAGTCAGGCCCCGCCTCCCTTTAATGGTTTTTACTGATATAAGAGATTTTAACACCCTGTGTTTACCATGCAATGTAAAGTAGCTTTCTCTGGGGTGTGCTGATTTGTTAAAACAAATACGGGAATATCTACTTTAATGTTTACACCATGGCCCCAGTGATTTGATGGTCCAGCAGAAGATTTGAGTGTTTAAAAAAAAAAAAAAAAAAAGATTCAAGATCTGTTTGTGACTAAAATGTAAGTTCTGCTGTCTGGTCACAATGACCATATAATTCTAGAACATCTTATCTCTAAAATCTCCAACTGAGTTTCTCTGTTCTCTAGTTCTCTCTCAGCGTGATTGACGAGCAGCAGGTTATTCAGTCCTGGTGTCTTCTCATGATTTCATTTATTTTTTAAACATATATTCCCATACCTCCCAAGTGTACCCAGTGGTGTACACATGACCTATGTGACCTATGGGGCCCCGGTGCGAAAATTGATCCGTGACCCCCCGCGCTTACTCTGTGTGGGCTAGGGCCGCAACACATGGCGGCGGGCACCTGGTCGCAGAGGTCGCAGGGCTGCGACCACGGTATGTACGCCAGTGCATGCAGATGCATACACACTTTACAGACACCCAGATCACATCAGCTCAATGAAGTTGTCTGGGTGCCAAATCCCTCTAGTTTTAACCCTGCAGCTGAAAACATAGCAGTTTCAGAGAAACTGCTCTTTCACTGAGGGTTATTTCAGCCTCTAGTGGCTGTCTTACTGACAGCCGCTAGAGGTGCTTCCGCAATTCTCACTGTGAAAGTCACAGTGAGAAGACGCTGGATGTCCATAGGAAAGCATTGAGTAATACTTTCCTATGGGCGGTTTGAATGCGCGCTCAGCTCTTGCCGCGCATGCGTATTCGGAGCTGAGAGGTGGAACGGGGCGGAGGGGTTTTAAACACACACACACTCTCACGAACAGACGCATACACACTAGCTAACACACACACACTAGCTAACACACACACACATTTACTGACAGAGACACTCAGCGACATACATACATACTCACTGACAGACAGACACATACACACTCACAAAACATACTCTCACTGACAAACACACTCACTAACAGACATTAAACAGACTCACTAACAGACACACACAAACACACTCAGTTTGTTTAATCTAGAATTTCTTATCTCCTGCTATTTAAATAGCATTGTAGACACTGCAGGATCTTCACGTGTGTGAGTAAAGTTCAGTTTATAGAGCATGAGATAAAAACATCTAAAGTAAGTTAACACCTGATTGAAAATGAAACCAATTTTTTTTTTCTATGCAGATGGTATGTCAGTCACAGCCCGGGGACGTGTGACTATGTTGCATGAGCAAAAACAAAGGTTATTTAACTCCTAGTTGGCAGAGAATTGAGCTTTGAGACTTCAGGGATATGAGCTACACACCAAAACTGCTTCATAGTCTAAAATTGTTTTGAGGCCTATGGTGTCCCTCTAAACTTCAAAACAATGTGTTTATAAATTTGTCTGTGTATGCAATCACCTGAAATGTCTCAGAAACCACCTAAAGTGAAAGTGACCCTCGTGGACTCTTTAAAATCTATATACTACTCCTGCTCCTCATAAGAACGCAGGCACTTCTTTACAAACAACACATTTATTTGTTGTATTTAAATCCTGTCCTGCAAGATGGAGGAGTTAAAGCTTCTGAGTTTGGTACCAGCGATTCCAGTTTTTTTCAGTGTACAGATTTTGAGATCTGAGTATTGTAGCTGCATTGAGCTATATTTGAAAGTTAGGAGACCATTAACTTCTCTTTTCAGTGAGAGTAATTTGCTGGGGAAACTCCCATTTAATTGGAGAGCTGACATGGTGCTGTCATCGCCGATTTGCATGAATGTACGGAAATTAACCACCGGGGTTGTGGTTTGGGTGTCTGCAAAACTCAGTCAAAAAAATATTAAACCAGAATATTGACTGGTGATTATTATTTCATTTAACCCCTTAAGGACCAAACTTCTGGAATAGAAGGGAATCATGACATGTCACACATGTCATGTGTCCTTAACCCCTTGAGGACCAAACTTCTGGAATAAAAGGGAATCATGACATGTCACACATGTCATGTGTCCTTAAGGGGTTAAAAAACATTTTTTTTTTTATCTCTTAAGGGAGGCAAACACTATTATTGTGACTAATCCACGAGAACAATACATTATTTCCTGGGGAAATCGAACTGTGTGCGTTGATCTTTATATGGAATCACGCAAATAGCCGCAGTGATTAAATGTATTATGAAGTTTCCTGCTGCATTGTAAATTAATATCTGGATTTTACATGACATTTTACCTGCAGTTGCTACTTTGTATGTGCTAAGGAAATGCATTTATGTTGGTACTTTCTAACAATTTGTGTTCTCCAAGTATGCCCAATTAAACAGTCAGAATCGAATTATTCTGTTATAAAATTGCTTTGGATTGACTCATTGTATTCTGGGCAAAAAGGATGCCTGTTACTATAGAAACCATGATATCTACAGGATGTGACACATGAATTTGTCCTACTGTGAGATACGTAATTCTCTGGTAAGGCCAATTAACCGTTTTTAAATCGTTTATTTTCTGTAACATTAAAATTATTTTTGAAGTTATGCATATTTACATGTCTGTAACTCCCCTGGATTTACCGGCTTACTCCGAATACTTAAATGACCCTGAAAAGGTATTACTATAAGTGGGGAGAAGTAATTAGCTGTAAACTGAGTGGAATTCAAGGGGCTCTCTAAGCACCATAACCACCTGCTGCCCCCTCTCCAGTTCTTTGCCAAATCATGTTCGGTTTAACACAAACCAAGAGTACCCCAGGTGCTGACAACCTGGCCCTTTGCTCAGTTTAGCTTACTACTATTACAGAAGATATATTTCTGCATTAGCAATATCAATTCCTTACGTACTTAGATGACATTCATAAAAAATAAATTAAAAAAAATTGGTATTGCTAGGGTGAGAGACTAACTTTTACATTACCGATATGGACAGCCATGGCCGAAAAAACTGTTTATAGCCCCAGTACTGATACAGTACTGGGAGATCATCTCAGGTACATACTGGTATCGTAATCACTATTAACTTTAAATTCTTTTTTTTAGCCCATGATTGTTGTATTTTGCATATTTTTTCTCCTGTGTTTTAACACATTGATACATATATGAGTAGATCAATCCATCAGAAATTTTACAGGGTTGAAATAATGCACAGATTGCCAAACATTAATCAAATTTCAGACCAAAGTAGCTGAATTGGATACAGTATCAAACTTCTTTTGTCCTGAAAGTTAAAAGCCCCCCACCAGTTCCTGATAATCCCCCCTAAAAAAAAAACACTAAAAAAGAAACTATAAATGTAATACTAGCACGGTAATCGTTCTGAGATTTTATCTACATTGTGTAAGACAGAGTGCTAGAAATTATATAGCTGTAAAGTGTAAAAAATTTAATTTGTTTTGAACTTATGATTCCCCAGGAAGAGGGCAGCAAGGGGAACAAACAAAGTGATTTTTTGGTGTCAGTAAGAAATGTTTCATATTCTCTTTGTAAGCAATGTTTTCCAGGTTCAAATAAGCTCCTATAAACTAGACTTGTGCAAAAATCTATTATTGGTTATTCATTCGACTAGAATTCCTGTTAATCAATATTGGAACAAATCGATTCTGAATCTCCCAATTGTTCTTACCTGCACAGGTAAAACCACAGGTAATCGATTCGCTTTGACAGATGCCAGGAATTTGGTACAGATGAACCGGCTCTCAAATAAATGTTTGCACAAGTCTATTTCAGATAATGTACTACTGACCCATGTTACAGTTTCTATCCTGTTCTGATGAATGAAAGGGCTGCGAGGTGTGTACACTACATTGCTTGGCGAATGAATTGAGCATAATTGTGGCACTGAAAAGGTTACAGTGAAATGGATACAGTAATCCTTCTTCTGGAGCAGGCTTCCCTCCCCTGTTGTGTTTACAGAATGGCTAAGCTGCTGTTGGCATTGTTAGTTGTGACAAGACACGCTTATGGTTGGCAAAGGCCTTGGCATCTTGTGACATCTCAGCAGTGGCAGCATATGCTTACTGTGTAATCTCCGGCATCCGCAAGCTGTGTCCGCCCCCACCCCCCTAATCACATGGGGAGAGGGAACCTATGGTACACCAAGCAGGATGTTTACTTTCTGCGGCTGAAAATAAGCCGGAGTGTTCTAAACAAAAATAACATCATATTTTTACCATGGTATAACTCCATGTCATGGACGGGCTAAAGGAAAACTGTTTATTATTCAAAAATGGCACAAAAACTGCTTCAGTTTTTAGGTTGATTAAGCTAAAGTTGTTTTGGTGACTACAGTATCCCTTTAGGTCAATATTGTCCCAGAGCAGCTGAAAATAAATGTCGTCCCAAAGCTGATAAATGTGAAATTGCCAATATACTGTATATTTTGTAACAAACGTAACAATCAAAGGAATAAGCATTGGCTGCACAAAGTTTGTAAGGGAATACTAAGGAGTCCTCCATTTGCTACCTAAAGTACATGGAATGAACTGTATAAAGTGTAGATCTAAGAAAAACTTTAAAGTTTAAAATAAATATGGTGCTGATGAAGATACAAAGGGAGAAATTAGGTGTGATCAGCTGCGTATTAGCATCACGTACTCAAAATATTGAGCAATAGGCCGAATGATCGCCAGACTAAACAGAATTCCTGGAAACATATGTGTCCATTAATCACGTCTTTACATATCTCTATTCTGTTGTGCTTTGCCCTGTGGAAATTGTAAAAAACAAACAACATTTTTTGGCCCATACTGATAGAGCAGATATTTCACAGAAATACTATTTAAATTTTGGATACATAGACATTCACCCTTGCTAGAAGAGATGCTAGGGGATCCATGAACTGCAAAGGAAAGTAGTTTGGGGATTCAAATGGAAATCTTTATTTATTAAATAAAAATAAATGGCAATTGGCAAAGCATCATGGGAGGTGTAGTTGACAATGTGAACCAAAAGATGCCATTAAGGCACTCTATTATCTTCGCAGTAGATTGAGTAAGAGACATCTTGTTGGACCAAGGTTGCGAGAGAATCTTTCCATAAACATTTCTTATCTCATTGAGCATTGAATTTGCTTGTGGTTCAGGTATATGTTTAGTTTTGAGAATTGTCCTGAATCTCTTTTAGAGAATACAGTGAACATTCTCACCAATTATCTGCTCAGAGACCTTACCTTGGATGAATTGCAAAGGGATTGTCTCATACAAAACAAATATGTGGGCCCAATAAGGGGTGCAGACAGATTGTTTATGAGCATCTTTGTGTCTAAATTAGCCAGAGTTTCTTAATATCGGTTGCAGACATCAGTAAAGGATTGCACACAGGTATATGGAAAACCCCTCCTTCTGGAGGCCATCTTTAGGCATGTATGGTCCGGGTAAAACCGATGTGTTCTTAGCAAGCCCAAACTCGCCCCTTTATGAGACACCTTATCTTATCTTATAATTAATGTTAAATGTTATGGTGTGTATGACAGACTAGATCTTAATGCCTTTAGGTACTCACTGTAAACATGAGTCTTTCGTTTTGGCAGAACAACCTTTTTATAATTTATGTTTCTACTTATTACGTGTATGTATATTTATTGCTACCATACGGCATTCCGCTTATCTCAATAGTTTATAGTATAACTTCTGGGACGGATTATATCCTTGAACTCTGTTCTATAGTTCTGCGCTACAGGTAACTTTTAACAAACGAGAATTGTCTCGTTATTTACAAGAAATTAGTGCTTTGTTAAGTACCTGAATTTTGCATAAAGTGCAGAGAGCAGCTGTAAACTAGCCTAGGACTTTAAACCAGTATAGACATGTCGGAAAATATGTTCATCTGATAAGTGGCAGGCGAAAAGTTCAATTATCTTCCTTCATCATGGGAAGATTTTATTAACGTCATCGTTGCCACGGCTAAGCAGTAAACTTTTAACGAACTTGCAGATAAGGTTTAGTGGTCCATTCATTTTGTTAATATATATATATATTTTTTCCCAATAATATTCCTACTGAATCTTATAATTTGAAGTATTAGGACAGTTGTTTGCGCAATGGATGGAACTTAACGCAATGTTTTGTTTCAGCTGCCAATCAAGTTTTTCCACAATCCATCAGGGAAACAGCAGACATCATGGGCAGAGGAGAACAAAATGGCTGCCCCCCCTGATATTGAGGTCAATAAGGCAGAAATGATAATAACTATAAATAAAGTCAAGTCTTAAAAGGGAGAGCTTAATCATTATGATACAGGCGGCACAAGGAAAATAAAACCAAAAGAAAAAAATATATTTACCTGGCCGCTTTAAGGGTGTGTAATCAGATTTCTATTTGTACTTACTGTTTGGGATAGGGTTATATGTTACATACATATCCTCTGAGTACCTACAGAAAAATATTTTTAAAGATTAAGATTTCTATTACAATGGCGTCATAATTGGCTTTTATTAAACAAATCTTTTTGATTTACGTGTGAGACTTATTAGTCTCACTGATTGCCGTATTGTTTTAACTTGATTCCTTGGAAAAACAAATAAAAAAAGATATTTAAAAAAAAAAAAAATCTCACTTAACTCAGTAACTGATACTCTGCATCAAGAACTTACAGTTTCAACAAACTGCTGTGAACATCCCATGATCCTCCTGTGATCAGCAGCTATTTGTTGAGTACTCTGTAATCTAAAGCAATACATGACACTTTGTGTTTCAGTTGGCGTATTATTAGGATAGGTTGTGCTTGGTTTGGTTGGTGATGACCAGCAGGTAGAGAATATATTTCAGGTATTTTTGGAATTATTGTCTTTACTCAGGTCCTTATTAATTTACATTGCATTGCAAGTTTTAGGTATAAAATGTCGTAATGCTATAACTCCACCCTTTGTGTTTTCTTCAAATGAAAACATAAATTTAGAGACTACATAGTTGTGACATGGTTGAAAGTGGATGGTACGCACAAGGAGACAGGTAATGCATGACGTAGAGTAGACGGGGATTACTAGAAAGGACGAACAAACGTCACTTCTTAGTATCTTTGTAAAAAAACAGAAATAGAGCATTTCACAAGTTATGGCGCAAAATATTTCCACTTGACCATCTGACACGCAGAGTATGCTGCCATTTTGTATTCATGTCATTTTTTGGACGTGGTGGACATAGACGAAAGGATCATTCATTGAGGGACAATGCCCTTAATTAATAGTGAGGACAGTACTTTGAACCCCTATATCCATTTGTGGTCCGTTTTCTTTTTACTCTTGGAATACATTGTATCTCTGAATTCTTTTTGCTTGTAGGATTGTTGTGACTAATCTTTTTAGCATTCTTGTTTGCTCTCAGGTGTAGAGGATGACTTGGCCTTGGCAGAGGAATGCCGTCGCCGTGGACAGAATGCTTTGCCCTTCCAGCCATCGGGAAGCAGGATCTCTAGACCACACAGGCCTCCCGGCCTCCCCAGACACGGCCATAACTATAAAAGTGACGAAGAAGAAGAGCCAGATAGGCTGCGTGGTTCAAGCAATTGGGAATCTCCTCTTTATTCAACAGGTGTGCAATCTGAGATTAACAAAGGTTCTGATGATATTGAGGCTTCAGTCAGACAGTCATGCAAGTGTAAAACTCTTCCAGAGAAGCAATGTTGCATTCTGGTATAATTGCTAAACTATTAAAAATGACACGTCAAAAATCTGGCTAGCTAAGGGGCATCTGTGTAATACCCAAAATTAGTTGGACCTCGAGATAAATTTTTTATGGGCTCTTTTTTATTTCTCAGGGTATATCAGAATTATTATATACATTTATTTATAAAGCACCTTTTTTTACAGCACTTTTCCTTTTTAATAAGGTTGCCATATGAACACGGTGAGTTAAGAATATTTAAAACGATACATTTCATATCTATCTATCCATAATTGTCTTCCTATGGCGGCCATTAGATACTAAATATCTGCGCTGAAAATTCTACTGAGTTGCAGCATCATTTCTTAGATCTGCCATTGAGGTTTAGCTAATTTTGACCTTAGAGAGCCTGGTTACAGTGATCTATCTGTGAATAATATATAAAATGTGTGTATTTTCCAAAACTTGCTTTAGTTAGACTTATAATTCTTTAAGTTCATATGTATTTACTTAGAGAACATATGGTTGTGACCCAGTGTCAAATTTTAGGTGTCTTGAAGTGCGTTAAATATGATGATGGGTAAATATTTAGGTGAAAAGAACACTACTTATTTTGTTAATTCTGAAGAGTTAAACTTAACATTCAAGAACAGTAAACACACATTGATCATGTTTAAAAGTAGAATTTAAGTTCACAATCCCTTGACAGTTCAGACTAACCCAAGAAAAAAAAATGAAATTATGTTACTATTGCCCTCTTGATACACATTGTGGCAGTTATGGCTAATGCTGGCACAGCAAATGTTTGTGATCTACATTGCCGGTGAGCTCAACCAACCTCTAGGCATGATGGGAAATATAGTTCACAAATATTTACAGTTCCAAGGTTAGATGTCATTGGCATACAGTATTACCCCAGGCCTCTGAAAGTCACGTAGAACTAGAATGCATGCTAACAGGTCCGAACATGTTTTCCTGCATTTGGTTTTAAGAAATATATATGTTTTGGATGTTTTTTTCCTTCCCTTTCACAGAAAACCTATTTCAGAAAATATAAAGGTAAATAGACAGCAGAGGAATAAAAACATGTGTTTATATCACTCAAGAACCCTTGAAGAGACTTGTAAATATTCTGCATGGGTTTCTGAAGGCCAAGTCCATTAAAGGTCATGGGTAGTTTAGAGAGAATTATAAGGTCAAGCATTGTCTAATTAACATACTCTTTAAAGGCTTTTCAAGCAGTTTGACAAAAAAAGGGCTCCATGAACACTATATCCTCGACCCTCATCCACAGGGCTGTACTGACAATTAGCAAGTGGTACTTTTGCATCCACCACATCGGTAACAGAGATTGTGGGAGAACCTTGAGTTTTGTCAAACGTCTCTAAAATGATTAGGCAGAAAATGGGGGATAGTACCTCACTCCCTAATTACTACAATAAGATTTAGTGGTTACAGTGCATTTAGTGTCTGTCCCTTTAATATACATACCTGGGTACTCTTTCTGTTTCCTATACCTACAGCCCTTCCCTGAGTGGGCAGGAGATGACTGTCTTGAACTGAAGATCCTATTTTAAAAATGAGTGTGATCACCCAGGAAGAGATAGCACCAGTTAGAAAAAGGGGCAGTCCTGCCGCTGAGACAGCAGTTTTAGGGGGGAGCAGTCCAAGTTTTGTTCACACAGCTAGTAACTCCTTTTAAATGTTCCGTTGTTAGAAGTATCTATCAGACTCTTGCAGATTGCCTCCACCCCAACGGAAATTGCATTACAATAGATTCAACGGAAAACCATTAGGGCTAATGGGTAAGTAAAATGTGAGCCGCTCCTTTTAGATAGGAAAGCCTAGTTGTGTTTTTCTGCTAAGTGTGATGTTCCATTTTCATAAATATACACACTAGACATACATTTTGTAGGCCATTTCCATGTATACTCCACACAACATTCTTCCGATGTCTTTACACAAGGTGCAGCTGTGCTAAGCCTTTCTATGATTTAGTGTGGTTTTTTTTCACATTTCTTTTTGAACCACAAAAAACATCTAAGAAGAATGTTTAGTGTGTGTTTATATACAACCTTAGGCAGAAATTTGAAACCAAAGACAAACGTATTTTCATTCTCAGACGAGTGAATGTGGAAATGTCACCATACCTTAGAAAACACAAATAAACTAAACATTTTAAACCAGTTAAAATTTTATGTATATAAATTATATACTTATACATGTAAACACACTTATATACATACATATGCACTCTAGTTAAATAAGTGAAATATAGTTAATTTCACACCTTTATTTTGTGAATCAAAACAATAAGCATTATAGTAAAAGTGGATACAGTAAAAATTCACGTTAAATACCACAAGCACATAATGTGGATCTCCGTCCATGTTAGCACCCAGGAGACCACTCTTTTCTTACTATTCCATGAGAGGGTGATGGTGTGCTTAGTATGAAAGGTTGGGGTACCATTCTAAAATTAGCAGATTTTTCTGAATGTCTGGAGCTCGTCCGGGTTTGTATTGTGAAGCTCTAATTCCCCAACCTTGATATCCAGAGAAGACTCTTTGGACCAGGTGGTCAAAAGTCAGACTCCAAATATCTGGGTCAAATCTGGGGTGTTTGTCACTTTACTCTCACACATTATTTATGTGCCTGCAGCCCATCCTGGCAGACAGACTTTTACCTTTTCTATTTTTTCTTGTGAAGACATTAATCCTTTCTGCGTTTTTTTTAGTTGATAGATAATTTTACTTATGAAATGTTACCTTTTGGGTCAATTAAGAAATTCTGTTCTGTTCACTAACAGAGCGCACAGTCTGTTTCAGTTTTATTCTTGACTGAACTACTAACTGCACCATATAACCACACTCCCAAATAACCTTTCTCTGCCACTGAATATTTTAATTGCATGACATATTTTAATCTATCACACATCCATAACCCAGTGAGCGTAACACTAGGATCATGTACAAACAATATAAAATATATATGATTTTTCTTCTCTGGTTTTTCATTAAATTGTTTTCTTTAAGAAAAGTTTTCAATAGATTTGAATTCAGTCCCAGTGAAAAGTCATAAAAGTTGGAAAAAGTGGAGGTTAGTGCAGATATTGATAGGTGAAACCAACAGACCGTAATTAATTGTGAGACGGTAAAGTCTGAATGCTTAACCAGGGATGGCTAATCTTGGCAACCCAGATGCTAACCTCTAGGTAGACTAAGAAACAGGGTGCAATAAAATACTGTGAATGGACAACAGCTCAAATAACTTGCCCTTCTGTGGGTCCCTGCTCAGTTGTTTAGCTAGTTTTAGCTCTTTTTTTTTTTTACCATTCCAAAGAGAACTAAAAGGGCAGTACAAACCCAAAAAGAAGACCGTCTCCCTCTGCACAAGAGATACAGCATCCTTTGATCGCTATTTCAGCCTCGTGAGATGGTCTTGTGAGGCTCGGTAGACTAAGCATCACGGAAATGTGGGAAACCAACATTTGGGGTGTGAATATACAAGACAAAACAGAGGAAGGTTGCGCCAAAGCTGACTAAAGTGCAGCTAGAAAATGAACAAAGTCCAAAATGTGGGTGGTGACAAAACAAAGTCTTTAGTAGGGCCTGGTGGGGCACCGATGGCCTATATGGAGGGGTATTCTCTCTAAGGGTCACGTGAAGATGGCTTTTCAGGATCCGTATGTAAAGAAAGAAACAAATAATGGTGCAAATACGTCTGATGAGAGGGTTGATATGCAGGAAGAAGAGATCTATGGTAATTCTACTCACGTGTAGTAGAGCTGAACTAGCTCTGTTCATTTTCTAGCTGCACTTTAGTCAGCTTTGGCGCAACCTTCCTCTGTTTTGTCTTGTAAATTATCTTTGTTCATATGGTTTAGAGGGAACCCTATTTTAGGTTGCTGCCTCCTACTTTACCTATTTATAGGATTGGTTTAATTTAGCGCTGTTTCCTTCTTTTGTATATTTCTATTTGGGGTGTGAAGGTTAGCCATTATTAGACCAAATACCCACTTCGGGAATAATCTAGCCTTTTAAACAAATCGATTTAAGCAGCTCTGTCACCGGAAAATAAAAATGCTCATAAAGATTGTTTTTACATTTTGATTGAAATTCAAGTTCAATCAAAAGATATCATAAGACAAAGTAGGGTCTTCTGTCTTACGGTTGTTGCCTAACTTGACAAAACTTGGCAAAAGGTGGAGCTACTGTCACTTCTCCAAGCCGTCGCCATAAGCAGCCCATGGGAGGCTCCTCCGTAGATGCAAATGTTGTATTCTTGTGAGAGTACAGCACTGACGATTGATGCAGCAGGAGTGGAAGATCAAAGATGGTGATGCATGCGGGGGACAGCATCAGGTAAGTATAACTCACTTCTGTTGCATACCTTTGCCACCTCACCCACAAAATATTCAAGGACCCCAGAAGGTGACAGAGCTGTCTTAAAGGAACACAATAGCGTTAGGAATACAAAACTGTATTCCTAACACTATATTGTTTACCTCCCCATGTTGAAAGGGCTAAAAAAATATATATTTTTTCACTTTCCTGTTTCCACTGCCAAGGTCCCTCGATGCTAGGTCTGTCTCCTCCTCTAGTGACGTTGTGCCAACGTGTGGATCCAATGCCCATGCACAGTGATCGCCGTGCGCATTAACTTTCCCAATAGGAAAGCATTCAATCAGTGGTTTCCTATGGGGGATTTAAAGATGCTGGACGTCCTCATGCAAAATGTGAGCACGTCCAAGGTCGTTTCACAGAGTTAAACTCCATGAAAATGCAGGAAGCTCCCCTGGAAGACAGCCACTTAAGACTGTCTTAACTAGGTTCTCTGAACCTGCAAAGTCCTTAGGATAAAGGAGGCATGGTTGCTGCATCCAGACCACTTCAATGAGATGAAGTTGTCTGTGTGCCTATGGTGTGCCGAATGGACTTTCTTTGAGAAGAATCCAGTCATAAAATGAGAGATGAAATGTTTCTTATTGCTTTGTTTCTTTTTGGAAAGTACATTCGTGTACACAAATCCTTTTAAATATTTTTAGTGTCATTAAACAGAGGATGACTTACTAGAGACCATTGTTTCCTTGGGATTATTTTATTTTACTAATATGGAAACAGATTTCTTGCACCTTAATGCACATTTTAGTGAGTTTTATTGATGTGGTTTATAGCTGTACACTTATGCGCACTGCACACGGCTGTCAGTTTACTGCTTTGGGCCTCACTGATACAATCGCACACTCACTGTGAGCTATACGGCTGTGGTGATCATGACCACTACATTGAGTTTTATTGCTGTGAAGCTCTGTGGTGCACTCATATAATATTTTACTGCAGCAGAACTCTGTAATACCATCCTACATAATGTAACCACCGTTACTAACAGTCCGTAATTTTCTGGGGCAGTCATGGTCTCTCAGTCCCACTGTCTCTTTTCCCCCCACTTATGGTGGCACTGAGGAAACGGTAACATAGAAGTTCTAGCAGGCCTCCAGGGCCTGCTAAAACGTTTCTATCTATGCAGGATATTATCATTGCACTGCATATGGGTTGCTTTTCAACCTGGGATACATATGTCCCTTTTATAGTTACTTACATTACTTGCATTCCCCCACATGCCACATATAAGTAGATACTTGATATGTTGGCAAGTTGGATGCCTGTTACTGTGGAGCTCTGTGATATACCTATTTAAAATAATGTCCTGACTTGTAGAAAAGGAGAAGCCAGACCAGGAAAAAGAAAGATATGTGGACCTATAGGAAGAATATCTACGAGTTATATGATACATAGCCCACAATAAATATATATCTGTCAAGTTAAAGGAACATAACAACTGTAACCATTAACTAACTGCTAAACCCAAAAGTCTTCTGTCCGACGTTGGGCAATTCTGCCCCTCCACATATGTTCGAGTCCGAGGTTTGAAACAGAAAGCCTTGAACTGTGTGCCGCTGATAGATTGAGATTGTCACCTGACACTCCCAGTAGCTCCCCGTTCATAAAACGACTTGAAGAAAATAGGTATGATTCTCAAGCCATTTGTGAATGGAGACCTACTGACGCCTTCAGCCTATCAGCCAGTCAGCAGGGTTCTAAAGCTTTCTGTTTTAAGGCTCAAAATCAAACAGATGTGTGGGGGCAGTGCTTATTGGCACAGGACATAAGACTTTGGGGTTAACCTGTTCATTAATGATTTAACCCCTGAAAACAAGCTTGTGCTAGGGGCCTCCTGGCACGATAACAAGCTAATTCCAAATAGATTGTTATGGTGCCCAGAGTGTTCCTTTAAATATATATTATATTGGAACACCGATCTGTTAGGTGATTTTAGCTGCATTGACTACTGTAGTTGTAGTCCAGTAATATACTTATAGAGTAATAGAGGTAAAAGGAATCCCAAACTCCTGCTCACACTGTACCAGAAGAGGTTGAAAAATATGTACATGTAATCATCAATATATCGAGCTGAGTTACTCTAGATATCTACTGTGATTTGAAATAACATAGTCTAAAGCTAGTTGATGAGGCCATTTCTTTTGAATACTAGCTTAATAATATTTTAATAATAATAATAGCTGACTTTATGAAGTCAGAATAATTTCTGCAAACATATGTGTAATGGAGCTCCAGTACTCCAACCGAGTACCTCCGTTGATGGATGCTCCTAGTGCTTCCAGAGGGCTCCAAACGCTTCTCCAGACACCATAAGCACTGCAGACCGGACCTCTCTTCCTGCAGAGAGCGAAGCTGGAACAGGCTTTTAAAAGAGCTTAGTGGAGTATGTAGAGTATAGCAACCCCCCAGTGTAAATGCAGCCTTAGAGACGAGGCTCTATGTTGTTGGTCAAAACAGGAACTCAGCAGTCTGAGGGTTTATTTGGCACGTATATGCAACTTTTTACACAATGTTACCACCCACATGGTTTTGTGGCACAGCCAATCAAACACGTACAATACAGTTAAACACTCCCATTCATTCCAGCAAAATCCTCCCCTCTGCCTGTGATATAATTATTGTACACAATGGGTTAACATAATTATCACAGACAGGAAAATACACAGTTTTATACACTATTCATAACTCACAAAATATACATACAATCTCCATAAAAGTTACATATTATTAAACAGCATACTTCAAATACAAACATACCCAAAAATCAGACAATTCCCTCCAGTGGTTAAAAAGTTAGCTGGAAGTCCTTTTTGACCGACCTCAAGCAGGCTTTCCTGCCCAAAACAGTTCCATAGATTTGGGCTGTGCGGTCGGTCAATTTCACTCAGAAAAATGACTAAGTCCCATTCGAATGCACGAACGGGGACTTAGTATACTGTGCGTTTGAATCGTCGAATGGGACTTCGTCTTCAGCTGAAGCGTCGAAGTGGAGGAGAAGGTAAGGGTCAGCGGTGTTCGTGCAAATGGGTAGCAGATTTTAGTTCCATAGATTCAGGACTAACAAAGATGGCCGCCACCACGTGTTCAACTGCATGAATGGAGGCCACGCAGCGGTCGGCAATTAACCTGCGGTTAATCGCCAGCCTGGGAGGTAAATTAGCCACACACTTCCACTTCTGTGTGGTCCGCCTGTGCCGTACTTGGTTCGGTAAGCCCCATTTACCGAACCAAATAGGAAAATGACATGTACAAAGTAGAAAGTAGTTTAACAGTCTGGGGACACAGTTTTAAAGGGGCATTGTTTCAATTCTCACTGTGTTCCAATACTGTGCTTAAAGAGCCAGCACCAGTCCCATAAAAGTCCATAAGCCCCAATAATGTTTTTAAAGGGCCATAGTCAGAGGGCAAGAGGCTGGCAAGCAGGCCTCTCCAGGACCAAGTGGCGAAGGGCACTTAGTCACAATAAGTATGTGTAAGTACATTTTAAAGAAGAGTAGCAAAAAGGATTTTCTACACACAACCTTTAAGTCCTCCGTACAACCTGCTCAAAGGACTGTTGGCTAATGCTCCAAACATTCAGCAGCAAGTCACACAAATGAAGAGTTGGTCAGTGCACATAACCCACCAAACTGTTATGAATGTCCACAAACTAATTATATTAATATGTATTTAAACCCCCATAGTGTAATTACAGAGTACTGCTCTGTAACTGCAATATCACATTGTGCGTTTGGTAATATGATTTGATTTTATCACGATCATCACAAAATGAAATGCGTCATGTGTGATATCGCTGTGATGCTACACCCTGTATTCTGGCTATGGAGGTTAAATACATTTGAAGAAAGTTGATGTAGACTAGCAGCAATAAGTTCACAAATTGCATTTCAGTGTTATAATTTTTTAAAATAGCGACAAATAATCTGAATCAGTCTTGTTTACCAAACCCAAATAGTGATGCTTATTGCAACAAAATAATGTATTCTATTTTCTCAATTACTTTAAAAAGGCAATAAATTATCAGAGCTCAGTTCAATAAGATTACTTTTTACTTATCTATCATCATATCTACCGACATTCTGGGTTCACACTAAAGACACTGGGTTTGGCAACCAATTGGTAGACTTTTGGAGTACCACTGTAATCTCCCAGAATACCACTCTCCTGGAGTACCCCTGTAATCTCCTGGAGTACCCCTGTAATCTCCTGAAATACCACTGTAATCTCCTGGAATACCACTCTCCTGGAGTACCCCTGTAATCTCCTGGAGTACCCCTGTAATCTCCTGGAATACCACTCTCCTGGAGTACCACTTTAATTTCCTGGAGTACCACTGTAATCTCTTGGAATACCACTCTCTTGGAGTACCACTGTGTTCTCCTGGAGTACCACTTTAGTCTCTTGAAGTACCACTGTAATCTCCAGGGAAAATGTAGTAGTGATGTTTAAGATATAGTGTTACCAGATTGACGATGATAGACTGAAAGCCTCAGCTACTGTTCTTCGCCTATCAGTGGGTGCCATTGAGAAAATTTGTAATTTGTGTTTCTCTCAATGGGTGACCATTAATATGTTGAAAGTGTCAACTGATACTTACAGCCAATCAGTGACGCTCAGCTAAGCCTACCTCATATTGTAGTGAACAGAGTAACTGATACCAGAAGTGCTGGGTGCCTTAAACAGTTGCCAAATGGTTTGACCACTCAAGTTAAGAAGGTGCACAGACACTTCTTCCCTAGTAACAAAGTTATGGGTATGTTGTGTTTATATTTGTAATAATATTCTAATCTATTTCATTGCTTTAGTGAGCCATTGGTCAGCGTTATTTATCTTAATTCAATAGTGAACCAGGTGGTAGTAATACCTAGGAATTCATAAAATAACCCCCAACATTTAGACTAAGGGGAGGGCTCACCTCAGTGGGACACATGGACTCTTTGTCTCAGCAGAGTCCTATGTAGGTTACTTTGTCTTCTCCTAGATTTGGCTCAACATGAGGGAATCCTTCCTGCAATCTAGGCTTGGCTAGTTGAGTCCCTTGGCCAACTCTGCATTGTAGTTGATGGAGACTCAACCCCAGCAAGCAGAAATAAACAAATAAATAGCTTAATGTAGTTGTTCTGGTGAGCATAATAGCTCCCTTTAGGCAATTTCATGTAAACACTGCCTTTTCAGAGAAAAAAAACAACAATAATAATACACTTATGTGCACTTTTTTCTCTGCAGAGGCAGTGTTCAGAGAAATGGCAGTGTTTACATTGCCCCTAAGGACACCACCAAGTGGCCACTCCTTAGATGGCCAATGCATCTCTATGATGAGGTGCTGTTTCCCCATGGGAAAGCATTGGATTGGCTAAAAATCTGCCATTTTGATGATGTCACCAAGGGGGTGGGGCCAGCACCGGCACACTGGTGGAGAGCTGAAAATAAGGTGAGTTTTAACCCATTCTGAGGGGGCTATGGGGAGGGGGAGCAAGCCACCTAGATGGTGGTTTTCACTATAGGGTCAGGAATACATGTTTGTGTTCCTGACCCTATAGTTATCCTTTAACAAGTGAAGATGACTTTCACCCAACTCAACCCTAGTAATGGAATTCTAAAACTTTGGGATTAGCTTAAAAAAAAAAAAACTGTGATTATCAAAATTCTTTATTCTTGGAGAACCCCAACTAAATGTTTGCACCTAAAAAAAATGTTTTATTACAAATGTTTGTCCCTTCACTCGGAATTCTCCAAAAATAAAGACTGATTGAGTCCTCTGCTTAAGTGACCTGTACATGAACCATATAAGTGAACCTCTTCATGCTATGGCATAGATCTTTACTGGCCATGTCTCCTCAGGACACAAGGAAGGAAGCAAGCGAAAGAAGCAAAAACAGAGAGAGGAACAGAAAAAGAAGAAATCAATGAAACCAGTCCACTAACACGGGAACGGACGTTCAATGCACCCAACACAAGATCACACCATACTCTCCGTCTGCAATGTTAACACAGTTTATTTTGTTTTGTGTATATAATGTAGATTTATTATGGGTAGTTTTCTCACCATTATAGGTTAATAATAGGAATTAAGAGAAACGTATAAATGACTCATAGCTGCCCCTTCTGTCCTCACTCTGTACACCGTTTTCTAGTGGAGCAATCTAGTACGGAGTAAGCACATTGTCTATCTCAAGGCAGCATCTCCAAGCCATGTTGAAGAGATCATAGCACATTTGATAATATGCTGGAGTATGTTCCAGCTCTAAATCTGTTACTTTATGATTGCACTAGTACCTATATGATAAAGTCCCTATTTACAGGTGTTACTTCCATGTTTAGCAAGAGACATGGCAGTAACATTTTGAATATTTACTCTGCTTTTTCTCCCTTGGATTGTTAAACTGTTAAATTGTATCTCTTGGACTATCTGACAGCATTTTGTAGCATATTGACTGGAGAATATAGTACATTTTTTTTTGACACTGACAATTAAAAATAAAAATGTTGGTTAACCAAAGAAGTTATTTCTTTTTGCCCCATATTGCACCATTTTTTTTAAAATAGTGGGAAATTGCTCTCTCTTTAGATTGGCAACCTTTCAATTTTAGATTTCTGGAAACTTGTACCGTTACGTGACCCAAGCTGGGATAGGATGAAGACGTCACAGACCACTTTAAATTAAAGGACTAGGTTGGGCAACATAACACATTTTTTTAAACAGTTTAACACCAAAGACTGTGTTCCAGCGCCAAATCTCTCTTCCCCTCTGTCCTTCCATTTGCTCAAAACCTTGAAACTGGAAGGTTTTTGCAGCATCAAGCAGCGGCACCACTGATGCTCTTGGCCAATCAGTGACTTTCCATTCATAATACTTTTCTTTTCATGAATAAGGAGTCACTGATTGCCACTATAGAAAGAGCCTTCGTGTTTAAAGATTTTGAGCAAACTGAATGACAGAGAGGCAGGGAGATCCGGCGCTGGAACACAGACTTTGGGGTTAAACCATGTGAGAACATTTTAACTCCTAAAGGTGAGCCGGCGCCAAGGACCTCCAGGCAACATAACGTCATTTTGATTATGTTCTTATGATGCCCGGGTGTTGCTTTGATTTAACTCAATGTCATCTAAAAAAAGGGCACAGATTCCAAATATCATTAGCCTGTCCTTGCTGTTGCATGGAAGTTATAGTCCATGTATTTGGTTTTGCCATATAATAGGATGGATTTTAGGGATGTACCCGATAGTGCAGATAGCTACCAATATATGGCTGTCATGTTCGTGGCACCATGTTTCTTGGTGAAGAGGTTTTTATTGAGAGCGGTGTTGTGGATACCTCAGTGGGTCTAAATAAAGCAACCAGTTAGTGGTCGAACCGTGTGTGATCGTGTAGACATGTATTACGATCTCATCAGAAAGTCTCAGAGTCTATCTATTTTGATAAAGTAGATTTTACTTCCTTATATTAGTCGCTACAACAGTTTGAAGAAATAGGCATCAAATAGGTTTCTTCATCAATGTCATTTTTTTAATTTTTTTTAAAACTAAGACACTGAAGCCAGCTTTTAATGGCTGCAATAACCGGGTTACATCCATGATTTCTGGCAACAATTTTTTTTTTTTAAATATATTTAAAAAACAAACAAACATTTTTTAGCTACATTTACTCCCTCAAACCATAACTGGGAAATGAAAACCATTCTTATTACTGGTGTGCTTTCTTATTAGAAAGTCGAGACAAATGTGAACACTTTTTTCTTTCATCAGTTCCCTTTCTTTTTTTTTTCTTTTTTTTTTTTTTTAAAGAAAAACACTGTGAAACTTGCATGACTCTATGTACACATAGTATACTGTGCCTTTACATTGCCCTTAGAAATAGATTATCTTGGGATGCCTGTTTAACTAATGTTTCTATTTTAGGATTGTTTTAGAATAAATCCAAGCACTGTGAGGGACCTAGATGGACATTTTCTACCCCACACCCCCCCTCCCCAGACACTTAATGTGTCCTCCTTCCCAGTATAATATACTTAGAGATGAGGGGAAGGTCGGATTTAATCATTTATGTTCTAACTGGAAAGAACAACCTCTAGTGTTGGTATCTCCGTGTTCTTTTTTGAGTTATCTAGCGTTGAGCCTGTTTAGTTACCGTATATCTGATACCAAATTATGATCTCATTATCCCTTCTGTTAGAACACAAAGATGAAAGAGAATCAGAGACAGAGTTCCAATTCCAAGTGATTCTCCTGCAGTTTCACTACCTTATTTCCCACACTATAATCTAAAATGGCCTTCTTGTAGAAAGCTGCAGAATTTTACATAATGAATGGAACCTGCTCTAAAACTCGGAGCTATTATTTAGTAACTCTGTAGGACCGGTGCACCCAACGTATCATTGTACTATTAGACCAATCAGAAATATGTATGGGGAGAAACCTAAAACTGAGCATAAAGTTATTTCCTAGTCAAAAGGCATCACAGAATTGTGAACTATGTCTGCAAGACTCCTTGTTGTGTTACTGTTACAAAGGCCCCTTCAAAATTAGGTTTTGCAGATACAATCACAATGATAGAAAAGGTAATCACGCAAGATATTTTTCTTACTCAATTTCTTACATTTTCCTTCCTTTATATGCATCGATCACTTCTATAGCATCAACTAATACATTAATTCCATCTGCATGACAATATGCCTGTTTCTACCTTCTTTGATGTTATACTATACAAACATGTCAAATTAAATCTTACACTCATACTTGTTTTATCTAAGACTTAACTCACTCCCAAGGCATATAACGTGTTCCAGTATAACAATCCTGCCCTGAGCAGACTGCCCACAGCCAGTTCTAGGTGCCACGTGTAGACTATGATGCATTGTCTGTGTAATGAGTCAAATCAACAATTAGATGGTTCTCCAGTGCAACCATCTTCAGGTCAATCCTTGAAAGAAATTAAAGAAGTTGAAATTGTAAAGATAATAATACTACCACATGCCAGTTAAAATTAATAGCCTTTGATCATTTTAAGATATTTGTATTTACAGATGTAGTTTATACATTGTAGAGCTAACACCGAATGCAGAATACAGATAAAGTCTCACCATTTATGCAGGATTTATATATATGTGTATACAAAATAACACTTCTCCTTTAATTGGGCATAAGTCGGCATTACAACCTGTCGTGTTGTTGACTCTCAGCGTGACTTTAGACAAGAGGTTCTGGTGTCTCATCAGAGATCTAATACCATCTGTAAGAATGCCTTTAGAATACTGATTAACACATCTCTACGCGGGGGTGACATCCGGCGGCTTGCCTCTGAGTGTAACTTACACTCATCAACAAAATATGTTGTGTTTGCTGAACAGGGCACTTGGGGAGCTGTATCATGCTGTAGTGGCTCCCAGATTAATTGAGCCAGATGAGTTTTTCTCACAAGTGGGCACACACAAGCCGGCTGTGTCACATATTACTGAGACACCAGGTAAAATCCTCAATTAGGAGAGCTGCACGGTTTAAGCAGCAAATTATTTTTTAACTGGATTCCCTAAGGAATTTGTGTTAGCTGGAGTTAGATGACTTCCAGTATTAAATAGGAAAGAAAAGTTTGTT